CCGCGCCGTCGCCCGGCGCGCTGTTGCTGGCCGCGGAGCGCGCGGCGAAAACAAAGGCCGGCGCGAAGGTCGGGCGCGCGCTCGAGGCGCTCGTCGCCGCGTCGCCGTCGCGGGAGGACGTCGCCGCGGCGCGGGACGTGCTGGCGGCGGCGGCGGCGGCGCTGGAGCGGCGCGCGGGCGACGCGCGGCGGGGCCTCGCGGCGCTCCGCGACCGCGAATCGCTCCGGGTCGCGCGCGGCGTCGCGAGGACCGCGGCTTTGGGCGCCTGGGACCACGCCGTGCGCGTCCTCGCGCCGGCGCGCGAGAAACTCGAGGCCGCGCGGCGCTTCCTCTCGCATTTGGGCGCGCCGGACCTCGCCGCGGCGCGAAACGCGGCGGGCGTCGACGCGTCGGTCCGCGACGCCGCGTCTTTGGTCGCGGGCCTCGACTTCGCCTCGGCGGACCTGGACGCGGCGCGCGTCAAGCGCGAGCTGCTGGCGCGGCTCCCCGCGAAGAAGGCGGCGGACCCCCTCGCGGGGGACCCCGAGAGGTTGCTGCCGCCGCCGCCGGACGTGGGCCACGCGGCGCGCGCCGCGGTCGCCGCGCTCGGCGACGTCGACGCGGAGACGTTCCTCTACCGCAACGCCCTCTGGGCCGCGGCGCTCTGGGCCTTCGTCGACGCGGCCGTCGCGCTCGACGGCGTGCGGCTGCCCTACGAGACGTCGCGAAAAGCGTTCGCGGCGGCCGCGGGGCGCCACGCCGCGGCGGCCGCGCGCCTCGACGCGGAGCCGGAGACGCCCGGCGCGAGCGCCGCGCGCGCGGCGGCGCGCCGGAAGCTCAACGACGACGCGGCGCTCGCGCGCGCGTTGCGCGCGCTCGACGAACGCGTCGCGCCGGACGCGGGCGACCGGAGCCCCGTCCGGGACCTGACGTCGACGCTCGACAAGATCGCCGACGGCGCCGCGAACCCCTTCGCCGAGGGGGACGAGCGGCGCCGGGCCGCGGCGGGCCCCGACGACCGGCGGCCGGCCGACGAGCGGCGGCGGTCCTTCGACGGGCGGCCGCGCCGCGCGCGCAGCGAGGGCGGCGGCGCCCTCGCGGGGGGCGAGGGCCGGCCGCGCCGCGCGAACAGCGACGGCGACCGCTTCGCGAGCCCCTGGCCCGACATCGTCTCCCTCATCGAGGAGGGGCCCAAGAGCCGGCGGCGCCGCTCCCACGACGAGGGCCCGGCCTCCTAACGTGTGTGTGTTTCTTACCTCGCTTCCTCGTCGTCGTCGTCCTCGTACTCGTCGTCGTCGTCGTCGTCGTCGTCGTCGGCGGCGCCGAGGCCGTCGTCGAAGGCGACGCCCATGGAGAACGCCGTGCCCTTGATGGACTCGCAGAGCGCGTCGAAGGGGATGTGCGCGAGGTGCTTGTCGACGTGCTTGACCTCGGCGATGTCGCGGATCTGGTCCAGGGTGATGGCGCCGACGGTCTGCGTCCCGGGCGTCTGCGCGCCCTTGCCGAGCCCGAGCGCCTGCCGGATGAGGTACGTCGTCGGCGGCGTCTTCGTCACAAAACTGAAGGTCCGGTTCGTGTACGCCGTGAGCACGACGGGGATGGGCGTGTCCGGCTCGAGCTTCTGGGTCGCGGCGTTGAAGGCCTTGACGAACTCCATCATGTTCAGGCCGTGGGGGCCCAGGGCCTGGCCGATGGCCGGGCCCGCCTTGGCCACGCCCGCGGGGCAGCGCAGCCGCACGACGGCTTTGACCGTGGTCATAGGGCTGTGGCTTTGCGGGTCGCGGCGCGCGGCGCTGCGGTGGTGGTGCGCGACGCTGCGGCGACGTGCCTCCTCGCTCGAGGTCGAGATCCTCGAGCGGCAACACGGCACGATGCCGGCACCGCCGAGGCGGGATCATTAACCATTCGCCATCTCGCCTGCCGCCGTCTGTCGTCCGGCTGCCGCGTCCGCAGGCCCAGAACGGCCCTCCCACTCGCGCGCGCCATCGCGCGGGATCACGCTCACGGCGTAGGCAACAAGAATCATGGGCTCCCCCGACCGCAAGCCCCGCAGCCGCTCCCGTTCGCCCGCGAAGCGCTCCCGCTCGCCGGACCGCGAGCGCTCCCGCCGCGACCGCTCCGACAGCCGCGACCGCGAGCGCTCCCGCCGCGACCGCAGCCGCAGCCGCTCGCGCGGCCGCGACGACCGCGGCGGCGGCGGCGGCGGCGGCGGCGACGGCAAGGCCTCGGGCGTCGCGTGCCGCTGGAACGAGCGCGGCTTCGGCTTCATCAAGCCCGACGACGGCGGCGACGACCTCTTCTGCCACGTGTCGCAGATCACGGACGGCAACGCGCTCTCCGAGGGCGCCCCGGTCCACTTCGTCAAGGTCTTCGACGAGCGCCGCGGTAGCTATCCCGTGACCTGCCGATCCTAGACGTGTTGTGGAGTGGGCTTTGGTCGGAACCGGACGGACGCGCGGACGCGCGGGCTCTGGGCCGGACGAGACGGCGCGCGGAACGCGACGCGCACGGCTCGGGCCGAGACGGGACGAGACGCGCGACGGGTCGAGACGCGCTTTCGCCCCAAACGCCCGCAAAGCCTGAGCCAGGTCCGTGCCCTCGGGAACGGTTCGGGGCCAACGGGCCGCTGACCCCGCGCAATCTACAGGCAAAGACCGCGCGGAGCAAGTCACGGGCGGCATCACGGCGCAGGACGGCGGCGGCGGCGGCGGCGGCTACGGCGGCGGCGGCGGCTACGGCGGCGGCGGCGGCGACGGCGGCGGCGGCGGCTACGGCGGCGGCGGCTACGGCGGCGGCGGCGGCAGCACCCAGATCTGCTTCGACTTCCAGAAGGGCCGCTGCACGCGCGGCTCTGACTGCCGCTTCTCCCACGACGAGGGCGGCGGCGGCGGCGGCGGCGGCGGCGGCTACGGCGGCGGCGGCGGCGGCTACGGCGGCGGCGGCGGCGGCTACGACGACCGCGATCGCGGCCACGGCGGTGGCGGCCGCTACTAGGCGCGCCCCCAAGCACAAGACTCGCCCGCCCGCGACACGCGCGCGGCCCTTCGCATCCCCCCGTTCGCATCCTCGCCTCCCCCCGTATCTCTATACATATCGACTCGCAAAAAAATACGCTTACGACGCATCACCCGACCTCGCGGCTCGAGCGCCAGAAGGTGAGGACGTGCCAGAAGAGCGGGTCCGGCAGCGACGCGCCGCGCGCCGCGCGCTTCGCGCCCGAATTCCGGAAGCTCGCCGAGAAGAGGCGCTTCAGCGGCCCCCGCGGCGCGGACGCGCGGCCGCGCTGGCAGAGGACGCGGAGGAGCAGGAGCTGGACGCAGGGCTCGCGCACGTGCGCGCGCCAGCTGCCCGCGGCGAGCACGTCCGAGAGCAGGTTGATCGAGTTCGCGTGGCCGCCGAGGTGGCGCGCCGCGTCCTCGGCGGTGGCGCCGTGGCGCGTCATGTCGACGCGCGCGCCGTAGCGCAGCAGCACGCGCACGACCTCGCTCCGGTCGTCGGAGAGCGACGCCGCGTAGAAGAGCGGCGGGAAGGGCGAGTTCGGGAGCACGTTCGGGTCCGCGCCCGCGCGGAGCAGGATCGCGAGCAGGTTCGGCGGGCCCGACTTGATGACGCCGGAGACGACGTCGTCGGGCCGCGCGCCGTGGCGCAGCAGCAGCCGCACGGTGTCGACCTTGTGCTTGAACGCCGCGAGGCGGAGCGGGCTCATGCCCGCGCCCGCGGGCGGCGCCACCGACGCGCCGAACTCGAGCAGCAGCTCGACGACCTCGTTCAAATCCTGCTGGATCGCCGTGACGAGCAGCCGCTGGCCCATCGCGACGGCGTCCGGGTCCGCGCCGTTCTGTAGCAGGACGCGCATGACCGACGCGCCGCGGTACATGGCCAGCGCCGCGAGGCAGATGGAGATGCCGTTGAGCTCGACGACGAGGTTCGCGTCGCCGTCCGGCGTCCCCAGCCACGCGCGCACGTCGTCCTCCGCGCCGGACAGCACGAGGTTGACGATGCACACGTCGCGTTGGACCGTCTTGCTCGCGGCGTCCGTCCCTAGTGGCGCCATCGGACGATGCGGGGGTGATCTCCCTCCCGTGTCGACCGCGCGACGCGCTGCTCCCCTTGGTGCCTACGTGCGACAAGCCGCACCAAGCACCAGCCTCAGTTTTTGCTTGCGAGTTCGCGGACGGGGTAATGTTTCACGGCAAGTGCATTTTCAAGTAAACTCTCGGGCAGCATGGCGGCCCTCTTCGATTACTCGCGCTGGGACAACATCGTGGATTCCGACGACGACGCGCCGCTCATGGCGGCCCCCGCGGCGCCCGAGGCCACGGTCGACCCCGTGGCGCGCGTCGGCGCCAAGAACGACAAGACGAGTGCGACGGCGCTGAGCCGGGCCCTGGCCCTGGAGCACAGCAAAACCACGGACGTGGCGGCCATCGCGGAAGGGCTCGGCATGGCGCCCGACCAAACGGTCGCGTCGCTCCAGGACGCGCTCGTGAAGCACGGCGCGGGCGGCCAGGCCGCGGTGCTGCCCTTGATCGCCGAGGGCGCGCCGGACGCGGCCGTCGTCGCCCGCGTGCGCGCGGCGCGCGCGCGGCGCGCGGCGACGGACGCGGCGTCGGCGCGGAGCGCCGCGGGGACCGTCGCGCGCACGGAGGCGAAGAAGCAGCTGCGGCTCGCGCGCGCGCTCCTCGGGAGCGCCGGCGGCGTCGACGAGCTCGAGGACACGGGCGCGTTCCGCGCCGCGGGGCCCGGCGAGGACCTGGTCAACGTCATGCTGCGCACGCTGGAGGACGCGGAGACGCGCATCGCCGAGCGCATCGTCGCGAGCGCCGCGGCGAGCGATGAACCCGGCGAAAAAACACGCGAGGACAAGGTGCTCCACACGCCCTTCGAGACCGTGCTCGCGCGCACGGCCTTCAAGCTCGGGCCCGGCCGGGAGGCCCTCGCGTCGCTCAAGGCGCGGGGCTTCTGCGTCCTCGACGACGTCCTGGCGAAGGAGGACGCGGACGCGATCTACGACCACGCGTGCCGCGCTTTGGCCCACGGGGGCCTGCGGCCCGCGCGCGGCGACGACGGCGCGGCCGAGGCGCCCCTGCCCGTGGCCCTGGGCCTGCCGACCATCGCGGCGCTCGACGCGTCGCTCTTCGACGTCTTCGAGCGCCACGAGCCCGACGACGAGGCCGCGATGGCGTACCGCGCGGCGGTGCAGGCCGTCGTCGGCGTCGCCTACGAGCTCGAGCGGGGCCTGGAGCTCGACGACGCGCTGGCCGTGCCCGACGCCGTCCGCCTCGCCGCCTACGCGCCCGACGGGTCGGCCCGCGCGAAGCGCGAGGACTGGTCGCCCTACGACGACGCCGACGACCGCGAGATCGTCGCGACGCTCTTCGTCAACCCGCGGGACTGGTCCCACGCCGACGGCGGCACGCTCGTCGTGCACGACGACGCCGGCGCGGCCCACCACGTCCTGCCCCTGCCCGGGCGGCTCGTCGTCTACCTCGCGCGGACCGTGCCCGTCGAGGACCGGCCGTGCACGAAGCGGCCGCGGTTCTCGCTCTCCTGCGCCTTCGACCGCCGCGCGCCGGGCTACGACGTCGACGACGACGACGAGGACGAGGACGACGCGACGGCGCGCGACCCCGAGGCCTTCGCCTACGAGCTCGCGCAGAAGCTGAAGGACCAGGCGGAGCGGAGCGGGGAGGCCGTCAGCGCCAAGTTCATGGGGCCCATGTACACCGACCTCGGCCCCAGCGACGTCACCGTCGTCGAAGGCGCGACCCCGTTCGAGCCCGGCGACCACGACAAGGAGAGCGACATCGGGCTCGTGTAAGGTAGGGCAGTGTTGAGGTTCAAGCTGAAGCGAAACGTGTGAAGCTGCGATGGCACTCAACTAACAATCGAGCTGCGCAATGAGGCATCGTTCCCCTCTGTTGCGCGCCTTCGTCTGGGCAGCCACGCGCTCCTTGGTGCGGAGCTTCTCGCACGCGCCCACGCGCAATCTATGCGACTCCAGCCTCCGCCTGCCGGGCCTGCGCGCCGCCGCCACAGCGGGCGACGACGCCGCGGCCGCTCGCGACGTCGCCGACGACGGCGCGGCCGCGCCTCGCGTGCGGCGCAAGCGCTACGCCGGCCGCTACCCGCGGAACTTCAGCGAAAAATACAAGGAGCGCGCGAACGACGCGGCGACCGTCGAGCGGGTGCTGGTGAAGGGCGGCACGCCCGCGGGCACGCACGTGCCCATCATGGTCGCCGAGTGCCTCGAGCACCTGCGCGTCGGCGACGCCGCCGTCGCCGTCGACTGCACCCTGGGCTACGGCGGCCACTCGACGGCCCTCGTCGCGGCGCTGCCCCGCGGCGCGCGGCTCCTCGGCGTCGACCGCGACGGAGAGGAGCTCGCGAAGACGGCCGCGCGCCTCGCGGAGGCGCCGCGCGCGGCGAGCGGCGAGGTGACCCTGGAGCAGATGCACTCAAACTACGCCGCCGTCGGCGACGAGCTGGCTCGACGGGGCCTCGCGGTCGACGCGCTCCTCGCGGACCTGGGGTGCTCGTCCATGCAGGTCGACGACCCGGAGCGCGGATTCACGTACAAGCGCGAGGGTCCCCTCGACATGAGGATGGACACGTCGCGCGGCGAGACCGCGGCGGACTGGCTCGCGCGGAGCTCGACGGCCGACGTCGCGGCCGCGTTCCGGACCGCGGCGGACTTTGGGAAGCGCGACGCGCGGGAGCTCGCCGTGGCCGCGCGGCGCGCGCCGACGCCGGCGACGACGACGGCCTTCGCGGAGCGAGTGAGGGGAGTCGCCCTCGAGGAGGAGACGGCGGACGACGACGCCGTCAAGCGCGCCATGCAGGCCCTGCGCGTCGCCGTCAACGACGAATTCGCGTCGCTCGACGCGCTCTTGGCGAGCCTGCCGGACGCGCTCGCGCCCGGCGGCCGCGCCGTCGTTTTGACGTTCCACTCGGGCGAGGACCGGCGCGTGAAGCAGGCGTTCAAGAAGGGCCTCGCCGCGAACGTCTACTCCGCCGTGGCGCGGCGCCCCGTCCGCGCGTCGCCCGAGGAGCGGCGCGCGAACAGCCGCTCCGGCTGCTGCAAGCTCCGGTGGTGCGTCCGCAGTAAGGATTAATCTTCGGTCTCGGCGAGGACCGCAGTCAGGATTAATCTTAGGTCTCGGCGAGGAACGCCGCGATCTCCCGGGAGAGGCGGTTCAGCGGGAAGCCGACGACGTTGTAGTAGCAGCCGTCGACCCGTTGAACGAAGGCGCCCGCGCGGCCCTGGATGCCGTAGCCGCCGGCCTTGTCGAGCGGGTCGCCCGTCGCCGCGTAGGCGGCGATGGCGTCGTCGGAGAGGCTCGAGAACTGCACGGCCGTCCGCTCGTAGAACGTCGTCGCGCGGCCGCCGTGGAAGAGCGCGCAGCCCGTCACGACGTCGTGGGACCGCCCGCTGAGGCTCCTGAGCATCGCCACGGCGTGCGCCTCGTCGGCCGGCTTCTCGAGGACGACGTTGTCCAATACGACGACGGTGTCGGCGGAAATGATGAGCCGCGACGGATCGTTGATCGCCGCGCAGACCTCCTCGCCCTTCTTCTCCGCCGTGCGCACGCAGTAGAGCGCCGCGTCGTCGCCCTTCGGCAGGTCCTCGTCGAAGGTGCTCTTTTGCACGACGAAGGACACATCTTTGGGCAGCATCTGGCCGAGCAGCTCTCTACGCCGCGGCGAGCCCGACGCCAACACGATGGCCGTCACGGACTGGAGCGCTTCTTTCAGCAGCATCGCGCTGGCTGCAGTGCGAGCAGTGCGAGGCAAGACCTTGGTTCACCGTCGCGGCTCCCAAGCTTCAAACAAGCTCGTTTGCCCTCCGAGGCTGCCCCTTGTACGATGCAGCTAGGCAAATACGACGGGACCTACTGCACCTACGATGGCCTCGACTTCTCGCGCGAGGCCTTCGAGGTGCCCTTCAACTGCCCCCGCTTCGAGGCGCTCGCGTCGACGCTCGAGCAGCGCATCGCGGATCTGCAGATCGGCGAAGCCTCGGGCGCGCTCTGCGACGCCGGGCGCCGGTTCCTCACGGACGGCGGCGTCGAGGCGCAGGTGGCGCCGGCGCTGGAGGCGCGGGGCTTCGCGGCGGCCTACGAGCTCGTCGCCGACGCCGAGGGCCGCGCCGCGCTCGACGCCGCGTTCCGGGAACACGCCGCCGCCGCCGAGCGCGCGGGCGCGAACCTCCTCCTGGTGACGCCGACGACGCGCCTCCCGCGGGGCCTCCCGCCCGACGCGGTCGACGACGCCTGCCGCCTCGCCGCGGAGCACCTCCGGGACTTTCGCGTCGAGCGCGCCCTGGCGCCCGGCCGCGTCGCCGTCGTCGCGGGCGCGCTGCCCTTCGCGGGCGAACGCCGCGACGGCGCCTTCGCCTACGCCGAGCACCACGCGCCGGCCTGCCGCGCCTTCTTCGACGGCGGCGCCGAGGTCGTCGTCGTCGCCGCGCGCTCGGCCGCGGAGGCCGCGGGCGCCGCGATCGCGGCGGAATCCGCGGGGTTGCCCGCCGTCGCGTGCTTTGCGCCCGGCGACGACGGCCGCCTCGCCGACGGCGCGACCCTCGCCGACGCCATCGCCGCCGCGGACGCCCAGGCCGAGGCCCACGACGCGGCGCCGCCCCTCTTCTACGGGCTGTCCGGCGCGTCGCCCGCGGCCGCGGCGGCGGCGACGGCCGGCGGCGGCGACGAGCTCCGCCGCCTCCAGTACGCGACGCTCCGCGGGGACGTGCTGGACGTCGCCCGGGGCTGCGCGAAGCTCGCGGCCGCGCTCCCGGCGCTGCGCGCGCTCGGCGGCCACGAGGGAGGGGGGGAGGGGACGCGCGCGGTCGCGCTCGCCGCGGTCCGCGTCGGCGCCTGGCCGGCCTGGTCGCCGGCGCCGCCGGCGCCGCCGAAGCCACCGGCGCCGGCGCCGCCGAACCCGCCGGCGGAGCCGCCGGCGGAGCCGCCGACGGAGGCGGACGAGGCGCTCGCGAGGGCCGTCAAGGAGCTCGAGGACGACGAGGCGTTCGCCGCGGCGCTGCGGGAGACGTCGACGGTCCCGCCGGAGGACGTCCCGGACAAGCCCGTGCTCACGGTCGAGGAGTGGCAGCGCTTGATGGCGGCGGGCTGGAAATGCACGTCGAACCCGGAGCTGAACCGGATGAACTTCGATCGCGAGCCCACCGTCGACGAGCGCGCGGACTTCGACGCGTGGTGGCCGCGGCCCGAGGACCTCCCCGGCGCGCGCCACGGGGACGACGCGACGGACGACGAGGAGGGATTTTAACACGGGGGGCGGACGAGGGGCATCTAGAGGTAGTCGTCGCCCGTGGCCGCGACGTCGCTCCCGCCCTCGCCGTCCTTGAGCGCGCCGGCCTCCTCGGTGCTCTTCGGCGGGAGGCCCAGGACGAGCATGAGGAGGCCCGTCGTGATGCCGAAGACGGCGATGATGACCTCGAAGAAGAAGCCCGCGCCGAGCTCCGGCGCGACGTCCGCGATCTTCAACCCGTTGACGGACAGCTTCGAGGGGAAGACGTCGTAGCAGTCGCTCTTGAAGGACGCGACGGCGATGAGCGTGTTGACGGCGCCCAGCACCGAGGGGATGACGCTCAGGAACTTGTTGCAGCCCGAGTCCTTCGCGGGGTCCAGGCGGCTCAAAAGCGAGTTGATCGACGGCAGGAGCGAGAGCGCGCCGATGAGCGACGTACTCACGAGCCCCTTGGACGCCGCCTCGCAGTCCTCGATGCCGTCCTCCTCCGACGACGGCGCGTAGTCCTTGAACTTGTTCCACTTGTAGAACTTGTTGTTCTCGAGGCCCGCGACGGGCACGCCGTCGTCGTCGTCCTTGCCCGAGTAGAGGACGCCCGTGAAGCCGATGTAGATCTTCGGGTCGTCGCCGCCCGTGTCGTAGACGGGGTCGACCTCCGTCGACGCCCAGGCCGTGGCCTTGAGCATGGAGTTCGACATGCCGCCGAGGCAGGCGAAGATGCCGATCATAATACAAAAAATATGGACGCCGACGAGGCCCCGGATCACGCCGCGGCGGTTGTCCGTGATCGCGCCCACGTCGCAGCAGGACAGCGCCCGGCAGAGCCAGGCGCAGGGCGACTTCTCGCAGCAGGCGGGCGGCATGGTGGCGGTCGGGTCGAATCCACGGAGGACGGGGCAGCCTCGTCCAGCGAAGATTCGCCCGGCCGCATGCATTTTGTTCAACGTCGAAGCAATTTACGTCGCTTCCTCCCTCGCGCGCGCGGCGGACCGCAGGCCCAGGCCCAGGCCCAGTTGGGCCTTCTTCTCTTGCCTGCTTCGCTCCTTGTCGCGCTTTCGCGCCGGGGCGTCGCGCCGCGCCGCGTCGCCGCGCCGGCCCTCGTCCCGCGCCCGCCGCGCGGCGTCGGCCCGGTCCCGGCGCGACGCCACCGACGGCCGCCGCGGCGCGGGCGCGTCGACGCGCGCCTCCGCGTCCGCCGCCGCGTCGCGCGCGGGCTTGGGCTGGCGCGCCGCGCGCGTGCCGCTCCACTGCTTCGCGGACTTGTCCCAGGCGGCCCGCACGCGGCGCCGGTCGGCGCCGTCGCAGCCGAGGAAGTCCACGATCTTCTCGAACTCCGCCGAGTCCTCGGCGAGCGTGAGCGAGAGGTAGCGCGCCGGCGGCACGCAGGCGGCGACGCGCGCGGGGTGCCGCGCGCAGACCGCCTCGAGGCGCCGCAGCGCCGCCGTGGAGTTCGCCGCGCTCGCGTTGAAGTTCCAGGACCCGGAGGCCTTCGTGCAGATCGCCCCCCGGTCGGCGCAGAAGCCGTCGACGAGGCCCGGCGCGAGCTGGTCGAAGTACCACCGCGTGGACCGGAAGCCGACGCTCGTGTGGTCGTGCGGCTCGTCCGCGGCGAGCGGCGTGTCGCAGCCGCGCTTCAGCCAGGCGCACGACAGCTGCCGCAGCGCACTCCGCGCCCAGGCGCCGCACTCGCGGTCCACGTTCACGAAGAGCGCCCGGTCGTAGCGCGCCGCGAGCTCGCAGGGCAGCGCATAGAAGGGGAAGACGTTGTAGAGCGTCGAGCCGGCCCAGGTCTTCGACGCGCCGAGGTTCGCGAGCGCGCCCGAGGTGTTGCCGTTGACGAAGGGCAGGAGATCGGCGTGGAATTTATAGTCGACGCCATTGTTTCTCGTTCCAACCATGCCCTTGGAGGCCGTAAAGCCGAGCGCTTGCAGGGCCATGCCCATGGACCGCGTGCCGCTCTTGGGCAGCCCCACGCCGAAGACGATCTGGTCCGGCGGGCACGCCGCGAGCGCGACGGGCAGCAGCATCGCCCATTGCAGCATCATTCTGGTTGCGCCTCGCTGCGCATCATCGCGCGATAGATCCAGCACAAACTGTGATGAAGTTCAACAACCGCGCTTTTTGTTCGCAAAATGGGCTGCTTGAACGTGCAATGGCTGGCGCTCCTCGGAACGACTGCGGCCGTCGATTTATCGGGCGCGCGCCTCTACGAGGACGTCCTCGGAACGGCCGCGGCCGTCGACCTGTCGGGCGCGCGCCTCTACGAGGACGTCGTCGCCTACTCGAAGAGCGGCGAGCACCGCACGGGCTCGCGAAACCTCAAAGAGGCGCGGCGCTGGTACGTCGAGGAACTGACGAAGGCGGGCTACGCCGTCGAGACGCTGCCGTTCACGGTGCCCTACTTCGACTTCGAGTCCTGCGCGCTCACCATCAACGACGCCGTCTCCGTCGAGTGCTTCCCCGTTTGGCCCGCGGCCGCGGGCGCCGCCGCGGGCGCGCTCGGCGGCGCCGTCGCGGTCGTCAACGCGTCGGCCATCGGCCTCGACGACGCCACGAAGGCGGCCATCGCGGCCGAAATCGCCGCCGGCGCCGGCGCCGTCGTCGTCGTCAACGGCGCGAACGAGGCGCTCGGCGCGGACCCGACGTTGCCGGTCGCGCTGAACGTCGACGTGCTCTCCGCGAACGCGTCCCAAGCCTGGGGCGCGCCCGTCGTCGTCGCCCCGGCGCACCCCGCCCTCGTCGCCGGCGCCGGCGCGTCCGTCGAGATCGCCGGGGCGCGGCGCGCCGTCGCCGGCGACGAGGTCGTCCACGCGTGGCTGCCCGCCGAGGGCCGGTTCCCCTACCGTCCGCCCGTCGTCGTCGAGAGCGGCCTGAGCGGCTGGCACGCCTGCGGCGGCGAGCGCGGGCCGGGCGTCGCGCTGTCGCTCGGCGTCGCGCGCTGGCACGCGGCGCGGCAGCGCAACGGCACGGCGAAGGCGCCCTACCACTTCTTCGCGACGGCGGGCCACGAGCTCGGCGCGTCCATGGGGCTGCCCGACTTCTACGACCGCCTCGCGGACATGGGCATGGGGCCGCTCGAGGTCGGCGGCTGGCTCCACGCGGGCTCCGCGACCGTGACCTACGGCGCGTTCCCCGCGGCGGGTGTGCAGCGGGCCAAGTGCGCGTACGCGAACGGGTCGGCCGTCGGCGCGTGCGCGGCGCGGCACCTCGCGGCCTTCGCGCCCGCGGCGACGTCGCCGGGCGGCGGCGGCGGCGGCGTCGCGGAGCTCATCGACGAGGGCTACGAGGCCGTCGGCTTCTGGGGCAGCTTCCCGCGCTTCCACACGAGGGACGACGTCGCCGACTCCACGGGGCCCGCGCTGCTCGAGCCCGCGGCCGCGGCCTTCGTCGCGACGCTCGCGTGCCTCGAGGACGAGCTCGGCGCGAGGGACGCGGCGGCGGCGCCCTCAGTTCCGCCGGCGCCCTAAGGTCCGCTGCTTAGGCAACCGCGCCGCGTCGCGCCTCACGCGGGCGGGAGGCAGGACAGCAGGCGCCAGAGCCCCCGCCGGAGCTCGGCGAAGGAGATGCGCACGTCGCCGCGGACGACGCCGACGCGCACGGGCGTGTCGAGGAACACCTCCTGGAGGTCGATGCCGTGGTCGTCGACGAGCGTCGCGATGCGCATGATCGTCTGCTGCTCGAGGGGCTTGTGCTGCGCGAACGCGCGCGCGCCCCGCGCGTGCGCGGCCTGGACGACGTGGCGCTTCAGGTCCCGGTAGGCCGACGCGCCGAAGCCCGCGATGTTCTCGCGGTCCAGGTCGTCGGACGCCAGCGAGTCGCCGCCGTCCGCGGCGTCCGCGGCGTTCGCGGCCGCGGCCGCGGCCGCGACCTTGAGCGCGGACACCAAAGCGCCAAAGGTCACGTCGTTCGCCGCCGTGCCGATCAAGAGCGCCACGAGGTGCCCCACCTCCGCCTCCTCGACGCGCTTGTAGGACGCGAGCGCGTCGGCCTCGTACTCGGAGAGCTGTTCGGCGCCGCACGCGTCGACGGGCATGCCCAGGTGCGTGAGCCAGCCCATGAGCCCCTCGACCAAATCCGACGTGCCCAGGGGCCGCTGGGCGACGTGGGGCGCCGTCTTCTCGATGGACCGCTTCGCGACCGTCGAGTGGAGCGTGTCCATGTATAAAGCGCCGCGCGCGTGCGCGGCGACCTGCACGGAGAAGCCCGCGATCTCCAGGTTCGACTGGCCGTCGCGCCCGTCCGCGTCGCCGTCGTCGGCCGGCGCGGGGCCGCCGCCCCGGCCCCGGCCGCCGCCGCCGTGTCGCTTCCGCCGCGGCGGCGGCGCGGGCGGGTACCGCGGCTCTTCGACGACGACCGTGTCGCTCAGGAGCCGGAGCTTCGCGGACCGCACCGCCGGCGCCGCGTCGGGCCCCCGCTCGCCGCGCACGTGGACCCGCACGCGGCCCAGCAGGTCCCGCGGCCCGCACTTGCGCAGCGCGTCGAGCCGGAGGTCGAGGCGCCGCCGCGCGCGCTCCGACGCGGCGAGCACCTTCCACCGGGGCTGCGCGGGCCGCCCGCGGCCCGCCGGCGCCGGCCGGTAGTGGCGCTCGACGTGGACGGCGACGTCGCCGTCGGCCAGCGTCGCGTACTCGGGCCAGAGGACCACGCGCGTGACGACGTCGGGCCGCTTCGGCGGCTCGGGCGGCGCCGCGCGCTTGCCGCCGAAGTCGTCGCCGTCGCCGTGCTCGGCGCGCTGGGCCTCGCCGGCCCGGGCGAGGCGCTGCCGCTCGGCGTAGGCCCGCGCGGACTGGCCGATGCGCACGCTCGGGTACGCGGGCCGCGTCGTCGCCTTGGCCGGGCTCCGCGCGCGGCTCGGCGACGCGGCCGCGGCCTCCTTGGCCGACGCGGACGTGATCAGCGCCGGGATCGCGCCGCCGCCCTTCTGCTGCCGCGCCCGGGCCCCGTTCCGGCTCCCGGGCCGCCCGCCGGAGTCCTTCTCCGCCGCGGCGGCCTCGAGCTGCTTCACCTGCTTGAGCAGGCGCGACAGCTCGGCGGCCTCCGCCGGCGTCATGTCGTCGGCGGAGATGCCCAAAGCCTCCAGGCCGAGGCCCATGCTGCGGATGTCCGCAGCGCGTCGATCGGCGAGCGCCGGCGCTACGACAACCGACGGGCCATACGCTGCCCGATCGTTTTGCGGCCTGATACTTCACTTATTCATTCGTTGAACACTTCTTGAACCTAGCATCGAAGCGATGCGACACTCGATGCGATGCGCGGGCTGCTGCGTGGTCGCGCTCGCGGCGGCGGCGCGCGTGCACGAGCCGAGCCTCTGGCGCGGCCACCTCGGCGCGCCCGGCGGCTCGACCTACGCCAAGATCTTCGGGCCCGGCGGCTGGTACGCCGACCCGCTGCTCTGGGGCAGCGGCGACGACCTGGGCTGCATGGGCGCGCCGGCGGCCTCGGGCCGCCAGATCTTCCTGCCGGAGACGCACGAGAACGGCTCCGTCGCGATCCCGCGGCGCGCCGGCGACGTGCGCTGCTACGCGAAGACGAAGGCGCGCGGCAGCGCGCGGCCGGAGCCCGCGCCGGCGCGCTGCGGCGCGTACGTCGGCGGCCCCGGCGGCGGGTCGCGCGTCGCCGTGACCGTCAACGGCGAGCTCCAGCGCATGGACCCGAACTCGACCGTCGCGGCGCGCGTCGTCGGGCCCTACGCGCGCGCGGGTTTGGACGTCGTCGTCTTTCTCACGCTGCAGTCGCGGCGGCCCAAGACGCGCGGCGGCGAGTGGCACAGCCACCGCTTCAAGACGATCCCGTCCTACGACGAAGACGAGGAGCGAGCGGTGCTCCAGCGGCTCGTGGACTTGTTCTTGGCGCACGGCGCGTGCGGCGTCGAGACTCGCCTGTACGACCTCGCGCGGCGGCCGCCGCAGATGCCTTCATCCTTCTCCGGCGCGAACCCGGGCAAGTCCCTGAAAAAGGCGCGCTTCCAGCTCGTCTGGCCGTCCTACGCCCTCCACCTCCTCGTCCACTCCGCCGTCTGGGCCGACGTCGAGCGCTACGAGCGCGCGACGACGTCGGCCTTCGACTTCGTCGTGAAGATGCGCGCGGACGCGGGCTGGCTCGCGGACGCGCCGGCGCCGGGCGTCACCCTCGAGGGCTCCGCGGTGGTCGTCAAGGAGTGCCTCGACTGGGGCGGGCTCAACGACAAGCTCGCGATCGTCCCCCGGAAATACGCCGCGCCGTGGATGCGGCTCCTCGAGGCGTACTACGACGACGTCGCGGCGGACTACAAGAACAGCGAGCAGTTCCAGCTGCGCCTCGCCCACGCCTTCCACGTGCCCGTCCGCAAGGAGCCGACCGCGCTCGCGATGCAGGACTTCTACTTCTGGCTCCCGGACGCGAGGGGCCGGCCGGGCTGCTTCCCCTGGAACTACGCGGGCCTCAAGCCCAACGGCCACTGCCTCTGCGTCGCCGACCGCGAGTGCGCCGCCGTCGGGGACCGCCTCTGCGCGGGGCAGCGGCCCCTGGGCAACGACGCGAGGCCCGGGGCGTAAGCTTGGGAGCGCGCTTGGACGACACTGGACGGCGCAGGAGGAAACCAAACTGACGGCGGTTTGGGAGGCTCCGAAGGCAAAAAAGGGCGAGTTTGGAGGCTCCGAAGGCAAAAAAAACGAGCAACACTCGGGATTCCAACGTGGTCACCCACCGTAGTACTAACCAAGCTCGATCCGGCTTAACTTCGCTGAGCTGACGGGAAGCGGTGCTCTCCGAATGATATGGTCGCTCGTGTGAGTGACACAATCCAAACCGATTATAAACAAGCACAAGCGAATACGGTTCGAATAGCACCGCGAATTGACACAAAAACTTCACGTTGAAGTGGCGTTTTTAATCTTGAAGAAGAGCCTCATATGGACTGTGCATAGCTCCACGCGCGCTGCTTTTTTTCGCAGAGATGCAGCGCCTCGCCTACCTCTGCTGGTGCGCCGCGGCCCTGCAGCCGCCGCGCTACGTCGTCGTCTACCGCGGCGCGCACGGCGGCTTCCGCGTGCCCGAGTTCGACGCGGCGCGCGCCGGCATCTCCGGCGCGACGCTCGCGCCGGCGGACGAGACCATGGCGTTTTCTCGTGCGCGGAGACACTGCGGCGGCGACGTGGGCCCGCCGCTCTTCATGGCCGCGAGCAACGCGACGGCCGCGGAGCTCGCGGCCGTCGCCGCGCGGAGCGTGCTTGTGCGCGCGGTCGTGGAGCTCTGGGGCTCGGGCCCGACCTACGGCGCCGCGGCCGAGGACGCGGCCGCGCGCGGCTTCGCGCCGCTCGCGGGAACCTGGCGCGTCTGCTCCATGAAGGTCGGCGCCGCGCGCGGCAAGACCGGCGGCGCGGCGCTGCGGAGCTTGAGCGATCGCAAGGTCCTCGGCCAACTCGAGCCCGTCCTGGCTCGCCTCGACGGCCCCGTGGACCTGTCGGAGGCCGCGGACGAGACCGTGCTCGTCGCCTGCGACTACGACCGCGCCGTCGACGACCACGCGCACGAGCGGCCCGACCCCCGAACGGTCTACGTCGGCCGCCTCGTCGCGCGGGGCGACCGGGCGACGCGGCTCAAGTTTTCCCTCAAGACGCGGCCGTTCGTCGGCACGACGACCATGGACCCGGAGACCGCGGCGCTGATGGCGCGCCTCGCGCGCCTCGAGCCCGGCATGGCCGCCGTCGACCCCTTCGCGGGCACCTGCGGCTGCCTGCTGGCGGCGACGCACCTCACGGGCGCGGCGGCGACGGCGGCGGACGTCGACGGGGACGCGCTCCGGGGCGCCCTGGCCAACTTCGACGCCGCGGGACTGCCGCGGCCGACGATACTGGAATGCCCCGTCGACGCGCTCGTCGAACGGCTCGGGGGCGCAACATTCGACGCGATCGTCACGGACCCGCCCTACGGCAAGCGCGAGCGCATCGCCGGCGGCGACGCGCGATGGCTCGAGGAGCTGTTGGGCCTCGCGGACGACGCGCTCAAGGTCGGCGGCCGCTGCGTCTTCTTCGTGCCCCACGGCGACGATGCGTCCGCGGACGACGTCGCCGCGCGCGTCGCCGCGCGCGCGCCCGGCTACGCCGTCGAGGCGAGCGCGCAGCAGCGGCTCAGCGGGCCCTGGCGGCGGACCCTCGTCGTGTTGCGCAAGGAGACGAGCGCCGCGCGGTCGACGCGTGGCGGCCACGACGACCTCGGCGCGGAGCTGTCCGACTACTGGAAGGGGCGGCGCGCGGCCGTCGAGGCGGGCCGGGGCACGCGGGGCACGCACTAGGAACACACGAGTCGCGCGTCGATTAACGGACGGGGCGTCTAGTTGTCGGCGAAGTAGTCCGCGGCGGGGAACGCCGCGGCCGCGGTGGCCTTGAACGCGGCGGCGCTCGGTGCGTCGCCGAGCTCGAGGAGGGCCGCGTGCGCGTCCTCGTAGCAGGCCACGGCGAGGGGCTTGCCCAGCGGCGGCGCCGCGAGCGACGCCGTGAGCACGAGGTTCGCGTCTTTCTCTCCCAAGCACGACAACGCTCGCGCGGCGGCGACGCGCTTCGGCAGCGCCGCGTCGCCCTGGGCGTAGGCCCGGCATTTCGCGAGCGCCGTCGCCGGGCCCGCGTAGGCCGGCGCGCCGCAGAGCTCCGCGAGCTCCGCGTCGAGGACCGCGGCGACGGCCGGCGGCGGCGCGCCGAGGGCGCCGGCCGCGAGCGCCTTCGCGAGCGCCGCGAGGCGCACGAGGAGCGCGGGCGCGTCGGCGCCGGCGGTCTTCTCGAGTTTCCGCAGCGCGCGCAACGCCATGAGCGGCTTCTGGCGCCGCAGCGCGACGTCGAAGGCCAACTCGTGCGTCTCCGCGTAGCCCGCCGCGTGGTCGCGGAGCGCCTCCGACAGGCGCAGCGCCTCGTCGAGGGGCGCCTTCGCCGCGAGCTTGGCGCCGTCGGGGTCGTCGTCCTCGCGCTTCTCCTCCTTCTTGACCTCCTTCTTGCCGCCGTCCGCGGCCTCGGCCTTCTTCGCCGCCTCGGCCTCGGCGTCCGCCTTGGCCTTGGCCTCGGCCTCCTTGGCCGCGGCCTTGCGCTGCTTCGCCTTCTCGCGCTTCGCGAGCGCCTTGGCCGCCTTGGCGTCGACGGCGCCCGCGGCCTCCGGCGCGGCCTTGGCGGCCTCGGCCGCGGCCGCGGAGTCGCGCGCGTCCGCGTCGGCGAGGAGCACGTAGAGGTCGCCCGCGGCCTTGGCCGCCCGGCGGAAGAACTTGTGGCCCCGGATGCCGTCCTCGAAGCGGAGCACGGACACGTAGGCCCGGAGCGTCATCTTGCGCACGCAGTAGGTGTGGAAGTCGAACTGGTCCTCGATGAAGTCCGCGAAGTGCTTCTCCACGGCCAAGAGCAGCTTCAGCGCCAAACCCGCCTTCGCGCGGACGTCGCCCGCGGGCGCCGACGCGGCGAAGGTTTTGCGCGCGTCGCGGCCCAGCGCCAGGCCGACCTCGAGCTCGTACCAGCTCGCCTGCATGTCGTTGAGGTGCTGCTCGGCGTCGCCCGCCTCGGGCCGCGTGAACATGGCCGCCGTCTTCCGCGCCTCGGCGACGTCGCCGGCGCGCAGGAGGTACTTGGTGGCCTTGTTGTTGATGTAGCGGTCCGCCAAATCCATCTCGCGCGCGGCGACCATCTCCGCGGCCGCGGCGCGCACGGCGCCGCCGCGCTTGAGGAGGCGCGCGCGCTTCTCGCGGAAGTCGACGCTCGTGGGCGTGTGCTCGAGGCACTCGTCGATGGCCTTCGTCGCGGCCTCGAGCTCGCCGAGCCACTCGTGGCAGTGGCACTTGAGGTAGAGGCACCAGAGCAGGCTCGTCGGCGGCTCCGGTTGCGCGTCGCCTTTGAACGTCGCGGGCGCTAGCCGGAGCGCCGCGACGTGGCCGTCGACGATGTCCAGCGTCGCGCGGCAGCAGGCCGCGCCGCGCGGGCGGCCCGCCGTGACGTCGCCGGCCTTGGGGCACCAGAGGCGCTCGAGGCCGCTGCCGATCGCGGGCGCGCCCTTCCGCACGAAGCGCTTGATCGTGTCGTCGAGCCGGCCCTCGAAGGACGCGCCGGACGCGTAGGTCAGGGGCACCCACTTGTAGGCCTCGGACTTGGGGTTCTCCGCCGCCAGCAGGGCGTAGGCCGCGTCCAAATCCGCGACCTGCGCGTCCGTCAACTCGACCTTGTCCGTCGGCGTCGCCGTCGCCGCGAGCTTCAGCAGGGTCGCGCACGTGGACGCGTCCAAGCCCAACAACGCGCACTGGAGGCCCCGGTGGAAGTCGTAGTTCTCGGACCCCGCCGTCGCCTTGCGCATGAGGCCCGCCCACTCGCGCGTCGCCGCGTCGCGGTCGAGGACGCCCGCGGCGCCGTCGCGCGCCTGGGGCCCGCTCAGGAGCAGCAGCTCGGCGCGCTTCTTCGCCAGCGTGTACTTGTCGACGATGACGGCCTCCGACGCCGCGAGGTGCGCCAGCGCCTCGCCGTAGCGGCCCTCCTCCTCCAATATGGAGTTCCGGTAGAGCGCGAGCTCGGAATCCTCGTAGGACCGCTCCGCGGTCTCCTCGCGGCGCTGCTCGTTCTTGATGGTCTCGCCGTAGGCGTCGATGACCTGGATCGCCGTCGCGCCGAGGCCCGCCAAGTGGTTCGACAGCGCGTACGCGACCCAGTGCATCTTGTTGTTCGGCTTCAACTGCAGCAGCTTCCGCCGCGTCTCGAGGAAGCCCCGGCCGTCGCGGAGCTGGACCTGCAGCAGGCTCAGGTCGCGCAGGATCTGCACGTTGTCCGGGTCGATCTTCAGCGCCTGCTTGTAGGACTTGATCGCCTGCGGGTACTGGCGGTCGCTCCGGTACAGCAGGCCGTAGACGTGCCAGCAGACGTGGCTCCGCATGTCGGCCTTGAGGCCCTTCTTCACGTAGTCGTAGGCCTCCTCCTTGCGCTCGAGGCAGTTGAGCACGAGGCCCCGCATGGCCAGCGTCTCCCCGTGGTTCGGGAACTTGCGCAGCACGGCGTCGCTCGCCTTCAGGCCCTTCTTGTACTGCTTCGTCTCGTAGAACTTGACGATGGATTTGAAGAGGTCCGCCTCCTTGCGCGGCAGGTTGCGGTCCGAAGGCGCCGCCATCGTCCGAAGCCCTGCTGCACGCCGCCGGACAACGACGACGTCCCAGCCCGTCGTGCTTCGCCAGCGGTCGCGGTCGCCTCGCCGTGGCGGTGAAGCCAATGGTGAAGGACGCCGCGCACTGCTCCGCACTGCTTAGCGCACTGCCCCGCCAGCGCTGCCCCGGGACACACATTAGCGGGGAGCCGCGGCGGCCGCGCGCGCGGCGGCCGCGGCGCGCCGCCGGGCGGCTCCTACGCGTTCGCGACGAGGGACGCCTGGGCCTCGCCGAGGATGTCCGCGCGCGCGGCGGCGACGCCCGGGTCGTCCTCGAAGGTCTTCGACGCCCGCGACCGCCGGCGGACGCGCGACTCGTCGCTCGCCAGCGCCGCCTGCGCGTCGGCGACGTGGCCCCGGGCCGCGGCGATCTCCGGGTCGTCGTCGAAGCACCGGGAGTTGCGCGACTTCCGGCGCACGCGCGACGGGCTGCTGGGGTCGTCGTGGTCGAACGGCAGCGCCGGCGACGCGGGCGGCGGGCCCTCGGCGACAGCGACGTCGGGCGCCGCGCTCGGCGCGGCCGCGGGCGCGCCGGCGTCGGAGGCGTCGCCGACGAGGCACGCCTCGGCCTCGGCGACGACCGCAGCCCGCGCTGCCTGGACCTCGGCGTCGTCGTCAAACGTGCGCGACGTCCGCGACCGCCGGCGAACGCGCGACTCGTCGTCCGGCTGCGCCGGCACGGCCAGGGGGTCCATGGGGCTGCCTCGGGTTACTTGCCAGCGCGTGTCGTCACAGCTGTAGCGATCGTGTAGTAAACAGTTTGAAACTTCAATCAAACAAACTAGGGGGCTATCTTGTCGATGCGCTGCGATGCGGGCCGCTCGGGCGCGATGAGCTGGGAGATTGGAACGACAAAAAAGAAAATCCCGGCCTTATCCTCAGGACCCGGGACAGTACCCTGATGATCCACCCACTTAGGGCGATTGCGGTGTTACGCCATTGGCCAGCCTTGTGCGGTCTGGAAGGAAAATAGGCCGTCGGGTAATGCTGTACGTGTCGAGGTATAAAAACCCGCATCTTCGGCAGCGGTTCGAACTTGTGCAGCCCCAGGGGCTCCCTCTCAGTCAAAGCGAGGACTGCAGGTAGCCTCGGCCCGCGCGCTCTGGCTGGTGGCCTGCGGGCATCGAGAATGTCGCAGCAGAGGAGCGGATCGCCTCGTGGGCAGCAGAGGAGCGGATCGACGCGTGGGAGCGCGACAAAACGCAACCTAGAAAAATTGGAGACTTTATTGCGGGCATTTAGTTCTCCCATCGGTGGGCTCAACTGGATAGGGGTCGAGGCGGAATTGAATGATCACTATGACAATGCGAAACTCAAGAAGCGCCTGCTCTGGAAGACCGTCGCCGCCTCGGACACGGACTTCCTCCGTCGGCTGATCGAGTTCGAATTAGCGACGGCGGACCTCTCCGCGAACCACCACGGCTGGACGCTCGTGCACGAGGCCGTCCAACGCGGCCACAGCGGCACGCTCCTCACTCTATGCGCGCAGATCGTCGGCAGCGTCAACAAGTCAACCCGCAGCGGCATCGCCCCGGCGCACGTCGCCGCGTCTCGCGGCGACGCCGTCGCGCTGATGGCTCTCAAGATGCTGGGCGCGGACCTGACCGTGCTGGCCGCGGACCGCGCCCGCTTGCGCGTGGCCGAGCGTGAAGTCGCCGAGCTACAGGAGCAACGCGACCACATTCGAGAAGCCGCGTCCGGCCTCGCGCACGCGGTCGGCATGACGACGACTCGGGAGAGGGCGGCGCTGCCCGAGGTCGCGCCGGAGCGGCCGACCTGCTGCGTCTGCCTGTCGCGCGCGCCGGACGCGGCCTTCCTGCCCTGCGGGCACAAGGTCTGCTGCAGCGACTGCGCCCTGCGGATCGCGGGCGCGTCGTCCGCGCGGCGCCGCGAGTGCCCCATCTGCCGGGCGTCGCTCACGGGGGCCCTGTCGATCTACGAAGCGTAGCAGACATAGTGCGGCTTAGCCGGAGGGGCGGTCGAGGGGGGCGGCGAGAGAGGACGCGGCGCCGCCTACCACGCGTTGGCGTCGAGGTTCTTGGCGTTGTAGAGGATGACGGCGGCGAGGACGTTGACCATGCCGAGGACGTACTCGGCGTTGAGGGACGTGCCGAAGAGGAGCATGGACATGACGCCCGTGAGGAGCACGGAGATGGCCGTCGCGTAGCCCTTGAGGACCGCGTCCGCGAACTTGAGGACCGCGGCGACCGTGAGGCCGCCCATGGCGGAGTTGCCCACGGAGATCATGGCCTTGTAGTCGAAGCCGTACCAGAGGCCGTGCTCGAGGATGTTCGCGGAGTCGGTCATCGCGGCCCACGCGCCCTCGATGACGAGGGACGTCATCGCGAGCTGGATCTGCGTGTAGGCGAGGCCCGTCTCGCGGGGCGACGTCGCGCCGTTGGCCTCGGGCGCCGGCCGCTGGGCCTTGATGACCTTCTCCGTGTAGACCGCCGCGAAGCCGCTGCTCAGCGCGATGCCGAGCGTCGCGAGCACGCCCGTGAGCTGGTTCTCGCCCTCCTTCTCGCCGCCCCGGTCCTTCGTGAGCTGCGCGAGCATGACGCCCGTCGTCAGCAGCAGCAGCGAGATGACCTGGGCCTTGCGCAGCTTCTTGCCCATGAGCGCCGCGGAGAAGATCGCCGTCGTCAGGAGCTTCGTCTGGACCAAGACCGAGAAGAGCGCGGCGTTGAGGTTCGACAGGGCGATGTACTCCAGCGTCTGCTGGAAGTTGTAGATGCCCGCGGGCACGGCGAGCAGCGCGAACTTGCGCCACTCCGCCTTGAGGTAGCGGTAGATGGACGTCGGCGACCCGCCCGTCGCGAGGACGTACGCGACGGAGCACGCGCACTTCGTGCCCTCCGTGCCGATGACGGCGGCGCTGTAGAGGAACTTGGCGCCGCCGGAGACGGCGCTGCGCATCACGAGGTTCTTCACGCAGTTCTGGATCGCGAGCAGCGCCAAGACCTTGAGCCCCGTCTTCGAGATCGCCGCGCCGCCGGCCTCGGCCTTCTTGGCGGACCCCGCGAGGTTCAGGTCGCTCTTGTTGAGCATGGCGGACGACTCGAGGCCCTCGCTGTCCTCGAGGTCCACGGAGGGACTCCGCTTCTCCGGCCGGCACATGGGCGACCCGATCTCGCGCGTCGGGCGCGCGGAACCAATCTTGCGGCCGCTCGGAGCCGGCGGACTCCTGTTAGATAGCGTCGTGACGTCGGAACCACGCGCTTTCGTGGAACGGATCGACGTCTTGCACTGGGCCTCGGCTGGTGCTGCTCGGTTGCCAACGACGCTGGGCGCAAAAAAAAATTGCGTCGACAAAGACCTCGCTCGTCGTCAGCTCGGCCATGACCTGCGCCAAAGCTGTAATGGCTCGCTCCGCCGTTGCGACGGCGCGCGGTCTCGCACTGCGACAGAGCCGCGTCGTCGTCGGAGAGGGCGGTACCGGGGGCAAGGGAGGCCGGAAAGGCGCTTACGTCCACGGGGGGCACTACCTTTTTTTTTTTTTTGGCCGCACGCGCTCACTCGAGAGTCACCATGGGACTCGTCGCATCCGCCGAAGCCTCGCGCGCACGCTTCCCCGGCCCGCGTGCGCAGGGTGGATCGACGCGCAACAGCGGACTTCGCAGTGGTGCAGCGGTGGGTTCGCGATGCGAGCGATTGGAGCAGTCGACCCCCGGCCAGAGCCTTTGGCGCAGTTTGCTACGAGCTGGAGCCGGGGCAAACCGCCTCTCGATCGGCGCCGCGCTCGCCGCTCCCAGTCGGTCCCGACGCACTCCGGGTCCCCGCAAACACGCCCGTACCCTCCGCGCACACGAAATAGCGCGAAAACCCGGGCTCGATCGCCCCAAAACTCGCACAGTTCTCCCGTAACCGTTCGCGAGCAAAAAACCATGCCCGCGCGCCGCCCCGCGCCCGACGCCATGGACACGGAGGACGCGCCGCTCACGGCCGCGGAGAAGTTCCAGGCGCTGCTGCGGCCCATCAAGGACGTCGCGCTCGCGTTCGACGTCGACGTCGACGAGGCGCTCGAGGAGTACGTCGAGGAGTGCGTGCGCTACGTCGTCGCCGAGTCCGGCGACGAGGCCATCAACTTCGCCGAGGCGGGTTTGCTCGTGCAGGGCAGCGCCGTCGTCTACGGCCGCAAGGTCGACGGGTTGCACGGCGTCGTCTACAAGGTCCTCGAGAATCTCCGGACGGGCAAGGCCCAGGCGGACGCCGCGGGCCGGGACGCCGCGGCGACGAAGGTCGCCGAGGCCTCGGGCGAGGACGAGTTCGGCCGCCGCTACGACGCGGGCCCGCTCGCGCGCGTCGTCGACGTGACGCCGGGGAAGACCGTCGACCTCGACGTCGAGAAGGAAGACTCGAAGCGCAAGAAGGCGCGGACGGCGCCGGCGGACCCCATGGTCGCCCTGCTCTTCCGCGACGTCGAGGAGGACGCGCCCTTCTTCGGCGCGGCCTTCGGCGCGGACGGCGGCCTGCGCCTGCCGGGGCTCGCGCGCGAGGGCGGCGTCGCGGCCGATTTCGCCCCCGCGGCCGACGGCGGCGAGGCGCCGCCGGCCTACGACGACGACTACGAGGCGCCGCCGGCCTACGACGACGACGGCTTCGACGACGGCGGCATGGACGTCGAGGAGGCCGCCGTCGCGCGCCAGCGCGAGGCGCCCGCGCCGCGGCCGCGCCGCGCGAGCTCGACCGCGCCCGAGGAGGCGGAGGACGCGCCGGACCCCTACGAGGAGATGGACGTCTTCGCGAGCGACGACGTCGCCAAGCCCCTGCGCCGCGGCAAGACGTGGCGCGCGCCGAAACCGCCGACGGCCGACGAGGGCCCGCCGTCGGACGCGGCGGTCGCCGCGCTCTGCGCGGCCGTGGACGCGGCGACGTCGGCCCGCGACCGGGGCCGCCGCGTCGCGGCCCTCGAGGCCGCCCAGGGCGCCCGGGCCGCCGCGCGCGCGGCCGCGCTCGACGTCGCCAAGGCGGCCTACCCGCAGTTCGGCGCCGCGCTCGCTAAGGCCCGGCGGCTCCGGCGCCTCGAGGAGCGCCGCGGCGGCGGCGACGACGACGACGACTACGACTGCGACGACGCCTGGGCCGCCGGCGGCGTCGCGCGGCTCTTCGCGGACCCGGAGGAGCTCGCGGCGCCCGAGGCGCCCGACGCGCCGCGCGACTTCACCGACGACTTCGACGACGGCGGCGGCGAGTGCTTCGCCTGGGACGACGACGGCTACGACGACCGCCTCGGCGCCGCGGGCGGCCGGCGGTCCGAGGCCTACGACGCCGCGTGCAAGGCGCACCTCGACGAGCTCGGCGCGAACGTCGCGTCCTACGAGGATCTCGCGCGCCTCGCGGACCGCGTCGCGGCCTGGCAGGCCAAGCTCGAGCCCGTGCTCCGCGCCCAGGAGACGGAGCGCGAGCCCTTCGACATGCTCGCCATCGGCCGCGACATCGTCGCGCGCCTCGCGGCGCGGAAGCCCGGCGACAAGGCCAAGGTCGGCTTCGGCAGCCTCGCGGGGGGCATCCCGCGCTACCGCGTCTGCCGCCACTTCCTCGCGACGCTCCAGCTCGCCAACAACGGCAACCTCGACCTCGAGCACGCGCACGGCGCCGACGCGCTCGCGCCCGCGGACGCGTTCAAGCTCGCGCTCCTCACGACGGTCAACGCGCACGACAGCCTCCACGAGGGCGACTTCGAGAACCACTAAGCACCCCCGGTTCCTCCCCCCCAAAAAAAACACCCCGACGGTCGTAAGAAGCATGTACCCTAGTCGCCGTCGCCGCCGCGCCACGGGTCGTCGCCGGCGGCTCGCGACATCGCGACGCGCTGGCGGTAGTACGACGGCGCCGCGGGCGGGAGGTCGTCGACGTCGCGCGTCGCGCCGGACAGCACCGCGCGGCTCCGCGCGTCCAAGTCCGCGTCCCCGGCGTAGAACGCGCCCGAGACGACGCGCTCGGCGACGTCCAGCGCGATTTTTCGTCTCCGCGTCGTCGTCGCGACCTCGCCGGGCTCCGCGGTCGCGTCCGAGCGCCGCGACGCGGCCGGCAATTCGCCGTCCTCGCGGTCGTCGGAGTCCGCGACCCAGAGGCGCGGCGCGGCGATCGCGCCCGGGTCGTCGTCGTCGTCGTCGCTCGTGTCGCTGTCGACGGGTGTCGATCGAGGCGGCGGCGGCCGCCGGATGGGAAAGGAGGGCATTGAGTTGCGCGTCGATGCGCACGACCGAAGCTGTGACAACTGATCAACCGCGCACGACCGAAGCTGCGACGACTGATCAACCGACGCAGCCCATCGGCCAAGCCGGAATCCTCCAACGGACGATGGGCAGCCTTCCGATCGGATTGGGCTACTGAATCAAGGCGACGACGGAGGAGTCGGGGCTGCGTGATGTCCCGCCCGACCGCGCTCTGGGCGCTGGTCGTCGGCCTCGCCGTCGCCCAGGACGTGACCTACTACAACGGGGACCACGCCGCGGGCCCCTGGAGCGTCGGCGTGCTCGACTACGGCCACCCGAAGATCCGCGTCGGCGCCGTGCGCGTCTGGGTCGCGGGCCCCTGGGCGCCGGACGCGGACCTCGTCTTCGAGGGCGTGGGGTCCCGGAAGAACTACACCATCGGCGGGGCGGCGGCGCGCGCGGCCGAGGGCGACGTCCTCGGGAACCCGGCCTTCGATCTCCTCGGACTGAAGCCGTCCGAGGTCGTCGCCTGGCGCGCCGTCGTCCGCCGCGGCGACGGGTCCCGGGCCGCGACGCCCTTTTACACGGAGACGGGCCCGCTGCCCGGCTACTTCCCGGCCGTCGCCGCCTCCGGCGAGGCGAGCGGCTACGTGCTCACGTCCGCGTTCCCCGCGGTGCAAAACGGCGCGGCGGACAAGTGGAGCGGCGCCGTCGTCCTCGATAGGGACGGCGACGTCGTCTGGGCCCTCGACTGCGGGTCCCTCTTCGACTACACGCCCTATTACGGGTTGATGAACCTGCGCTGCGGCGTCACGGGCGCGCAGACGGCCCTCGGCGACTTCTCGTTCGAAGACCGCTCGCGGGACTCGCTGCTCGTGCTCTGGGGCGTCGAGGGCGACATGACGAAGATCACGACGGGCTTCACGGGCATCGCCGAGATCAACGCCCGGGGCTCCATCCGCCGGCTCTACGTCGCGACGCGCGACGCGCCGGACTGGGCGCGCGGCCAGCTGCCCTGGTCGAACGTCCCGGGCGAGGTCGTCTACGTCGACACCGCGGGCTTCAACCACCAGGTGACGCCCCTCGACGCCTCCACGCTCGTCTCCCTGGGCTTCGAGACGAAGCGCAACGTCACCTGCCCGGGCTGGCCCGGGGCCGTGGACCAAGTCCACGGCAACGAGCTCGTCGTCTTCGACAGAGACACGGGCGCGGTCGCGCGGCGCTTCAGCACCTGGGACGCCTTCGATGTGTGCGCGACGGCGACGTACGCCACGCTGGCGCGGAACCCGGACTGGACCCACCTCAACGCCTTCGACGCGACGCTCGTCGGGTCCGCGCTCGACGCGCTGGTCGTCTCGTCGTTCTACCTCGGGTGGATCTTCGCGTGGGACTATTCGTCGGGCGACGTGCGCTGGCTCCTGGGCGCGTGCCACGCCGACATGCCGGCGGCCTGCGCCGACCACCGCAACTCCTTCCCTCTTTTTGTCGTCGACGAGGGGGCGGCGGGGGCCGTGCCGCAACGGTACGACGCGGGCCAGCACAACGTCCGCGTCGTCGCGCCGGAACGCCCGTCGTCCTGGGCCGACGTGGCTTTGGTCGCCTTCGCCAACGGCGGCCGCCGGGACCGGGGGTTGGACGTGCCGAGCCGCCTCGTGGTCTGGGCGCTGCCGGGCGACCCGCCGGCGACGGCCCGGGCGACGTTCGCGTACGGCGACGGCTCGTACAGCCCCTTCCTCGGCGGCGCGCAGCCGTTGCTGGGGCCCGGCGGCGTCGCGGGCTACCTCGCGGACTTTGGGGCCGTCACGGACCCGCCGGCGCCCTTCGACGGCCGGGCCAACTGGGCCCGGGACAACTGCAACTCCGCGCGCGTCGTCGAAATCGACGCGCGCGGCAACGCGACCTTTTCCGCGACCTTCGGCGGCCGCGACGCCGCGGGCTCCTGCGGCGCCGCCAACGCGCGCTCCTGGAACTCGTACCGCGCCCTCCGCGTCCCCAAGCCCCCGGGCTTCACGTGACGTAATCCGCTTTGCTTGAAGGGATGGTTGCAGGGAAGCTTCAGCCTCCCGGAACGCGCTCAGCATCGAGCACTGCTTCCCGCGCGCGCGCCGCATGGTAACGCTCGAGCCACGCGCCAAGTTCCCTCCGCCGGCGCACAACACGCACCCGGAGCTCTACGTCGTCGGCTTCCTCTGCATCGTCTGTCTCGCGCGTCCCGCGGCGCCTCAACTCGTCGAAAGGCGCCGCGCGCGCGCCGCGTTCGAGCCGCGCCGTCGCAGGTCGCCCTCGGGTGCATGTTCGTCGACACGCGCCAGCGCATGAGCATCAGGAAGAAGACTTTCGGAGAGAAGCTCGCGTGAGACGACCATGGCCGACGCGTCCGACGATCCGACCGAGGCGACGATCAGCGAGGCGGTCGTGCTCAAGCTCCTGTCGCACGCCGCGGAGGAGTCCGGCGCGGCGCGCCCGCGCATCAACCAGGGCGCGATCAAGGCGACGGTGGAGCTCCTCCGCCTCTTCGTCGTCCAGGCGCGCGCGCGCGCCGAGGGCGAGGCCGCCGCGGAGGGCGACGACGTCATCCGGCCCGAGCACGTCGAAGCGGCGATGCCGGAGCTCTTCGCCGACTTCTGACGGTGCGCGATCGTGCATGCCGCGACTCCTCGAATGGGCGACCCGATAGGGAGTAAGGTGCCGTCAACATCAGCTCAGCCCATTTGCCGAGCATGGAGGATCCTGTATTCCGGATGACCGCGGGGCTCCTCGTCTTCGCCGACGGCGGCGCGCTGCAGATCGCGATGGCGCTCCTCGTCGCGATGCTGAGCCACCGCGTCTACGCCGCCTACGAGCCCTACGTCGACGACGACGACGACGCGCTCTCGGAGGTCGCGCAGACGCAGCTCGTCCTCGTCTTCTTCGGGAGCCTGCTCCTCTTCGTCGGCGAGCACACGGACGGCGAGCGGGGCTACGCGACGGACGCGTTCGGCGCCGTGCTGGCCCTCGTCATGTCCGCGGGGCTGCTCGTGGCCGTCTACTACGTGCTCGTCGACGCGCTCGGCCGCGACCGCGTGGAACGGGAGGAGCGCCTGCTCCTGGAGAAGGCGGAGGGCCTGATCCACCACCTCGCGCCGACGTCGCCGAAGCGCACCGTCGCCTTCGCCGCGGACGAGAAGAAGGAGATCGAGCTCGCGGACGTCTACGGGGGCTCCTCCTCCTCCGACGACGACGCGAGCTCCTTCGCCGCGGCCCCCTCCTACGAGGCCGCGACGACGCCGCGCGCTACCGCCGAGGAGAAGCGCCCGGAGGAGGCGAAGCGCGAGGCGACGTCACCGTCGGCGACGCCGAAGGAGACGCCGAAGGAGAACACGCCGCGGCGGGGCCGCTCCTTCCGCGCGCGAAAGCCATCGCCGCGCACCGAGCCAAGAAAGCCGCCGCGGCGCCGGCCCCCGCGGCGCCGCGGCCGCCCAAGGGCATGAGCCTTGCGGGCATCTTCGGCGTGCCCCAGTCGCCCGAGGCGGCGAGCGTTCAGATTTAGAGTAACACGTCAACTTGAAGTTTAATAACTGACTGCCCTGCACAGCTGGCCGATGCGTGAGAACTTCTTTGAGTAGCAGCCCCTGTTGCGCGCTGGCCTAGTCAGTAGCAGCCCCTGTTGCGCGCCGGCCTAGCAAAGCATCATCAGGGCAATGAGCGCGCAGCTGGCCGCGGCGACGGACCGCGTGCTCATCGTCGGGACGGGGCTATCGGGCGCCCTCACGTGCTACCACCTCCGCAAGGCGCTGCGCGACCGCATTAAGATTGATGTCGCCGACATGGCGCGCGGCGCCGGCGGCCGCATGTCGACGACGCGCTACGAGGGCAAGCGCGGGTCCGCGCGCGCCAACGCGGGCGCGCGGTACGTCAGCGCGGCGCCGCGCGACGCCGCGGAGCTCCTCGCGGCCGTCTGCGCGTCGAACGGCGCCGGCGCGTGCGCGCTCGACCGCGTCGCGGCGCCCGCGCCGCGCAGCACGCACTTCCGGGGCGACGACGCCGCCTACGCGCACTGGCCGCCGCGCGAGGGCGCGAACGGCGTCGCGAAGCGGTTCCTCTACGGCGGCGCGCCGGACGGCGTCGCCTTCGGCGCGCGGCTGCTGCGCGTCGCGGCGAGCGGCCGGCGCCTCCGGCCCGTCTTCGACCGCGGCGCGGGCGACGCGGAAGCGGACTACGCCGCCGTCGTCGGACGCGGCGTCCTCGCGTCCACGAAATGAGCATCCGAGGCAGCCCGCGTCGTAGGTCCTCGCCATGCCGCCGAAGGACATTTTGAAGTTCTTCGACGCAGACATCGGCGCCGCGGGCGAGCTCCAGTCGCAGGCGACGCTGCACCGGCGGACGAACAAGGGCAAGGCTGCGGCGCTGCCGCCGGGCTTCGGCCCCATCGCGCTGCCGCGGGACGTCGTACGCACGCTCTCTTCCGTGGACTACGTCGGCCGCTACTCGCTGGCCATGTGGTTCGGCGACGCCCGCTTCGTCGAAGCGCTCGACGAGGCCTGGCGCGCGCGCGCCGGCGGCGAGGCCCACGACGTCCTCGACGCCGTCGTCGTCCAGCCGGGCGGCGTCGTCGTCGCGCAGTCGACGGTCGCCTTCTGGCGCCGCGTCTCGGGCCTCGACGCCGCCCGCGGCGCGAAGCGGCGCCGCGGCGGGGGCCGCGGCGGGGGCCGCGGCGGGGGCCGCGGCGAGCACGGGCGCGACGCGGCCCGGGCGTCGATGCTCGACGCGCTCGCGGCCGTCGTCGGGCGGCCCGTGCCGAGGCCCCAGCACGCGAAGCTCCTCAACTGGCGCACGAGCCAGGTCGAGTCGCCGGCGCGCCCCGACCCGCCCGTCGTCACGGCCTCGGGCGGCGCGCTCGTCTTCACGGGCGACTGGTGCGTCGAGAGCAGCTTCGAGGGCTGCCACCGCGCCGCGCGCGCCGCCGCGGACGCCGTCGCGAGCCACCTCGGTCTGGATTCGTCCGCGTGAGTTTTAATAAAAGCAAAGATGTTAAGCCAGCGGGTCCACGAGGGGCCGGTGCTGGAGGCCGTCGGGCGGCGACTCGAAGGTCGCGAAGTCCGCGGGGTCGCGGTGGATGGTCGACTCGATGCGCCGCGACGTCGGCGGCGGCGTGCCGCGGCCCGGCGTCGCGTCGGCGAGGGGCGACGGCGGCGGCGCCTCCGTGGGCGCGAAGGCGTGCTTGCGGCCGAAGTTGAAGGACGCGGACTTGCGCTTCGCGCGCTTCGGCTTCTCGTCCGGCGGCTTCTCGGGCGACGGCGTCTTCGCCGTGAAGGACCGCGTCCGCCGCTTCACGGCCGGCGGCGGCCGCCGCGCCGGCGGCTCCGGCGGTGCCTCGGCGGGCACGGTGACGGAGACGGCGACGAGGTCGTGGCCCGCGGCGCCGTCGACGACGTCCTCGTGCGCGCGGCGGTGCGACGGCGGCAGGTGCGCGAAGGGGTCGTCGGGCTCGTCGCGCGCCGGCGCCTTGGCGGCCCAGGGCGCGCGCCGCCGGCCGTCGTCGAGGGGCGTGGGCCAGAGCTCGTGGAGCCGCGACCGCGCGTTTCCGCCGTACTCCTCCGGGAGCTCGGCCGCGGGCACCTTCGCCCTCAAGTCCGCGACCCAGCCCGACCGCCCGAACATCGCGACGCGCCGCACCGTCGCCGCGTCCAAGAGCCGCGGCGCGGCGAGCGCGTAGGCCCGGAGCACGAAGTCGGGCGCGTTGACGACCGTTATTTCCGCGAGCCGCTCCGGGTTGTGGTGCCGCTCGCGGTCGTAGACGTCGGCGAGCCAGGGCACGAGGTGGCGGCAGCACGCGTGGCGCCAGCCGAGGCCCCGCAGGTCCAGGAGCAGGGACCACGCCTCCGCTCTCGCGGCGCCGCACGCGCGCGCGACGACCTCGCCGTGGAGCGCCATGTACCACTCGACCCGGGGCCGCGTCGTCTTGGCGAAGAGCCTTCCGAGGTCGCTCCGGCCGAGCTGCCAGATCACGAAGGGCCGGCCCACGGCGTCGCCGCCCTGGACCCAGAGCGGGAGGCACCGCTTCACGTCGCCCGCGCTGAGGCCCAGGATCCGCGCGAGGTCGTCGCCGCGGGCGACGACGTCCTTGGGCCCCTTCCACTTGCGCCATTCCAGGTCGCGCTCGACGCCCCGCAGCGCCGCGGCGACGTCGCCGTGGCACTGCGAGAGGAAGCGGCCGCAGTACGCGATGAGCGAGTCGCCGGGCCAGAGCTGGGCCTCGACGAGGGGGGCGTCGCAGGCGTGCACGAGGTCCCGCAGCGGGCCCGCGGGCAGCGCCTCCTGGACGGCCTCGTCCTCGAAGCAGAGCCGCTTCGACGACGAGGACCGGCGCTGCTTCCCGCCGAAGAAGTCGCGGACGCCCGTCGCCCTCGACGCGACCTTCCTCGCGGCGCGGAGCGGCGACGGCGACGCCGGCGACGGCGGGCTCCGCTCCGGCGACGCCGGCAGCGCGACGGCGTGGCCCGGCTTCCGCCGCGCGCGCGCGAGGCGCTTCTGCTCGTCGGCCGCGGCCGCGCGCGACCGCGCGACGCCGAGCCACTCGTTCGCCGCCCAGGCGACGGCGAGGGCCGCGGCGACGGGCGCGGCGACGGCGACGGCCGACGCGCCGAACCAGGCGGCGCCGGCGCTCCAGCGCGCGGCGGCGAGGGCCGCGGCGCAGGAGGTGTGGACGAAGCGCACGAGCGAGGCGCAGGACGCGAGCCAGGCGGCGAGGCACGCGCGCAGGCAGCGCGCGCACGCGCCGGCGACGACCGCCGCCGCCGCGGCGATCATGGCCGCCGCATGGGACAGAAAGCTGGCGCCCTCCCGGCGCTCCCGAGGGGCAGCCCGACCTGGCTGCAGCTCGGAGTTTCAGCAGGGGCAACTCCCAAGATGTTTGAGATGGTGAAGCGGTCATTGTAGTTTCGGGCAGCAACATGGAGCTGAAAAAGTGAGTCAGGCGTGCGAGCAATGAAGGCCGGGCAACGCTACGGCGAAGTCACGGGCAACATCTGGTCCTATGCGCAGCGCGGTGACACGACGGGCGTCAAAGCTGCGCTCACCCGCGGCGTCGATGCCAACGCGTGCAACATCGCTGGCTGGACGCCGTCGCACGCCGCCGCGGCGGGCGGCCAGGTGCACATTCTGCGGCTCCTGATTCGTCACGGCGGCGTGGACCTCACGCTCCGCGACCGCGCCGGCAACCAAGCCGCCCATCAGGCCGCGCTCGGAGGCCACGCCGCGTGCTTGGAGGAGCTCGCGCGCGCCGGCGCGGACCTATCGGCCGTGCGGCTCAGCGGTTGCAAGGGCGCCGCGGCGCGCGACCTGGTCGCCGCCGCCACGCGCAAGAGGGCCCCGCGCGACGCCGACGAAGCGCCAGTCGTCGGCTACGCGCGCGCGCAGGCCCGGTCGAACGCGTTCTTCGGACCGCGCCGCCAGCCCATCTCGTGCAAGATCCGCCGGGAAATCCTCAAGCGGAAGCGCCGCGAGCGCCACGAGAAGGCGCGGGACGGAGCGGGCGCTGAGAAGACCGACGGCGACGGCGACGCGGACGGCGACGTCCCGGGCGACGCCGAAGGCGACGGCGACGACCCTCGAGCGAGCGCGCTGGGACTCGAGCGCGGCTACCGCGAGACCGTGCGCGCCATCAAACAGAATACGAAGCTCTCGAGAGGCGCGCGACGCGCCAAGGCCCGCGCGGACTCCTCGGACGCCGCGCTCGCCGAAGCTGCGGCCGCGCTCGCGCTCGACGCCCCGGAACCCGACGAAACCGAGGACGACGACGCCAGCGACGACGACGCCGCCGCGGCGGCGGGCACCAGCGCCTTCGGGCTGCTCGCCGACTCCGACTCCGACGACGACGACGCCGCCGCGCCGGCGGGCGCCAGCGCCTTCGGGCTGCTCGCCGACTCCGAGGAGTCCGGCGACTCGGACGGCGCGAGCGCCTAGGAGGGGGTCGCGTGGACGTTTAGTTCAGGGGCGGAAAAGGTGCCCGGGGGCTCGGTGCCCGCGGCCAGCGAGCGGCGGCGGCGCGCCTAGAGCTCGTCGTGCTCCTCGTCCTCGTCGTCGGCCGCGTCGTCCTCGTCGTCCTCCTCGGGCTCGTTGAGCTTCTTCCACGCGTCCTTGGCGGCCTTCTCGTCGCCGTCCTTGAGCTTCTTCCACGTGGCCTCGGCGGCCTTGTCCGCGTAGGCCTTGTCGTCGGTGACGAGGATGTTGTCGAAGATGGAGCCCGCGTTGACCGTCCAGAGCTCGAAGCCGACCGTGGACAGGCCGGAGTACTTGGCGTAGGTCTCGGGCTTGTAGTCGGCGTTGGCGACCATGGGGTGGACCCAGGCGCCGACGTAGTCCGGGTTCTCGATCATGGGCGCCTTCCACTCGCCCTTGAACTCGGGGTTGTCGATCATCGGCGGCTCCCACTCGCCGTCCTCGTCCTCGTCCCAGTCCTCGGGCGTCTCCGCGTCCGGGTCGGGGATCTCCGCGGGGATGTCGTCGTAGCCCTCGGGCTTCGCCGCCGCCGGGTCGGGGATCTTCTTCGTGTCGACCCAGTCCTCGGGCTTGGACACGGCCGGGTCCTTGACCTCCGCGTCGGGGAACGCCCAGTCGTCGACGATCTTGCCGGACGCCTTGGACACCTGGTCGAAGAAGACCTCGTAGGAGCCGTCGGCCTCGAGGACCATGGTGTAGAGGTGCGTGAACTCGTCCTTGTCCGCGTAGTCGAGCTTGATCTCCTCCTCCTTGAGCAGGTTCTCGCCGCCGTGCTCGAAGATGAGGTGCACGCGCGAGATGTCGTAGCCGCAGAGGTCCGGGCCGAACATGATGCTGTAGGGCGTGTCGCCCCCGAAGGCCTTGGCGTCGACCTTGCCGGGCAGGAGCTTGATGTAGCCGCCGCCGCAGAACGCGTAGTCCTTCTTCTCGTGCTTGACGGTGAACTGGATCACGAGCGGCTTGCCCACCGTCGTCGCCTCGGAATCGAGCGGCGCGGAGATGGAGTGGAACTTCATGTCCTCGGACGCCTGCATGCCCTTGGCGATGGCCTCCTGGCCCTCGGCGTACCACTCGCCCGCCGTGTGCACCCACTTGCCCGTCGACTCGGCGTCCTTCCACTCGCTGGGCACCCACTTGTCGCCGATGCCCGCGTCGAAGTTGTCCTCGAAGTAGACCTTGGCCGACGCCGTGGCGAGGAGGGAGGCGGCGAGGACGCGCATGGTGATTTTTTGGCAGCTGCGGCGAGGCTGGCTGGACGCGTGGAGCTGCTTCGCGATCGGCGACCACGAAGGCGCTTGATATTCGCGTCAACACCAAACCCTTGAAGTAATGAGCATGGGCAGCCCGCTTCGCGTGCTCGCGCACGTCGCCGCCCTCGCGGCGGCGCGCCCGTTCCTCGACCCGACGCCGCACCCGACGCTGCTCGCGGTCTTCGGCACGGCGCCGCCGACGACCTTGGACCTCCCGGGCTGGCTGGACGCGCCCGGCGAACCGCTCAAGCCCACCTACGCGCCGTCGATCGCCCCGACGCAGAAATCGAAGAGCACGACCCACTTCCCGCTCGACGAGTGCAACGACGAGCCGCCGAAGAACGTGCGCTCCGCCGGCGGCTGCGGCGCCTACGTCCGCGACCACCCGTCGCGGTCGTGCGCGGCGAGCTCGCTCTGGGTCGTCCACCGCTACTGCCAGCAGACCTGCGCCGACGCGGGCCGGGCCTACGCGGGGTCCCCGTGCGCGGCGCGGCCGCCGCCGTCGCCGCCGCCGACGGCGGCCGGCGCGACGCGCGCGCCGACGGCGACGCCCGCGACCCGGCCGACGCGGAGGCCGACGCTCCCCGCGGCCGTGCCCGCGCGCTTCCAGCCGCCGGACCTGTCGCTCATGAACCCGGCCGGCCGGCGCCACGACGACGACGACGGCGGCGACGGCGCCGCGTGGGTCGCCGGCGCGCGGGGCGTGCTCGCGGCCGTCGGCGTCGCCTTCGTCCTCGCCGCCGCGTGCGTCGGCGGCGTCGCGCGCTGGGCGACGGCCGCGCCGTCCAAGGCGCCCACCGGGGGCGCCAAGTACCACCCCGCGGGCGGGGACGACGAGGGCATGGAGATGCTGTAAGCTGTGAGTTTTAAACGCGCGCGCGTCGACGGGGGCCAAGCCCGCCGCGCGCGGCGACGCCCACCTAGGGCGCGCGCTCGCCGCCGTCGAGGACCCAGCGCGCCGCCTCGCCGCGGTCGAGGACGAGGCGATGCTGCGGCGCGGGGGTTTTGATCCACTCCGCGTCCGCGAGCTCCCGGAGCGTCGGCCGCGCGGCCGGGTCCGGGCTCAGGCAGCGCGCGACGGCGCCGCGCATGGCCGCGGGCACGCGCGCCCAGTCCGCGCCCTCGAAGCGGCCCGCGGCCTCCGCGCCCGCGAGCACCGCGCGCTCGACGTCGCGGTCGGTCGTCGCCGGTCCGCCGCCGTCGAAGGGGTGGCGCCCCGTGAAGACGAAGTAGGCGACGACGCCCGCGGCCCAGGCGTCGACCTTCTTCGGGTCGACGCCCCGCTCCCGGCGCAGCAGCTCCGGCGGCGCGTAGGCCGCGGTCCGCGGGCTGTCGTGGATGCCGACGGCGCCGTCGCGGCCGTCGCGGCCGTCGACGCGCCGCGCGGACCCAAAGTCCACGAGGCGCACGTTCCACTCTTCATCATCCTCGAGGACGATGTTCTCCGGCTTGAGGTCCAGGTGGGCGATGCCCGCGTCGTGGAGGAACGCGACGGCGTCGAAGACGTCGCCCAAGACCTTCCGCTGCGCCCTCGCGTCGCCGACGAGCTCGCGGCGCGCGAGCCGGTCGAAGAGCTCGCCGCCGTCGAGGCGCTCCGTGACCAGGAACCCGTCCTCCGGGAGGCACTCGTGGACGCGGAGCACCGCGCGGTGCCGCGCCTCGCCGAGGAGTTGGGCCTCTCGCGGGAGCTCGGCCGCGAGGTGGGCCTTGACGGCCTTGATGGCCACGGGCAGGCCCCGGGCCTTGCAGCGGCCGCTGAAGACGCGGCCGCCGCCGCCGGAGCCCAGCTCCTCGCCGAGGTCGTAGCGCTGGCGCAGGGCCGCCCAGCGCGACGACGACGGCTCCGCGTCCAGCTCCTCCAGGGCCGCGTCCCGCCGGTCGAGGCGCCGCGTCGTCAGCGCGCGCAGCGCCAGCCGCGCGCTGCCGTAGCCCCACATGGCGGCCGCGCGCGGAGCGGCGATGCGGCCGGCCCACGACGGTGCGTCGCAGGAGAGCTCTGAGCGGCGATGCTGCCCACTGACATCAATTCAATAAAAAACGACGTTCTGGCTGAATATCATCGGATCGTGAGGTTCATCTAAAACCTCACAAAAACTGCAGAAGATGGTTTAAGGGATGGCACTCACCCACGCCTACATACGGGCGACGAAGGGGACCGAGAAGCCCGACGCCGCGTCGCCGACGACCCTGCTCCAGAAGGTCAACGACGCGCGCCGCGCGAGCGAACCGGGGCTGCCTCCGGGCGACGAGGGGCAGCCCCGGGGCGACGCCGCCGCGCCCCCCGCGGCGCCCGACGCCGCCGCGGACGACGACGATCCCGGGGCGGCGGGCGTCAAGCCGCCGCACCGGAGCTCGCTCCTCGCGGCCTTCGTCGACGTCGTCGGCGATCCCGGGTACGAGGAGACCAAGGAGGCCGAGCGGGACGACCGCGTGCACGCGCACGCCGCGGTCATGGACGAGATCGCCGGGGCGACCGAGGCGGAGGAGGACGCCGCGGAGGAGGACGCCGCGGAGGAGGAGGCCGCCGCGGAGGAGGAGCCCGTCGCGGAGGAGCCCGTCGCGGAGGAGCAACCCGTCGCGGAGGAGGAGCCCGTCGCGGAGGAGGAGCCCGCCGCGGAGGAGGAGCCCGCCGCGGAGGACGCCGCGGCCGCGGCCGCGGAGGAGGACGACGCCGCCGCCGCCGAGAAAGACGCGCCGGCCGCGGAGGAGGAGGCGGAGGTCGCCGCGGGGGAGGAGGCGCCGTCCGGCGCGGCCGCGGAGGACGAGTCGGCCGAGGAGTCCGAGGAGGAGGACGGGTCCGGCGAAGACTCCGAGGAGGACTCGGACGAGGAGGACTCGGACGAGGAGGAGGAGGGCCACGTCGAGTACGACAGCGACGGCCGGCCCTTCGTCTGGCGCTACGACGCCGACGGCATCCGGCACAAGCGGCGGCCCGGCGAGGACAGCGACGCGAGCTCGGACGAGGACGAGGAGGAGAGCGACGACGACGCGGAGGAGGAGGAGCCGGAGCCCGTCGAGGACGAGGCCGGGCGGGACCTCGTCGAGATCGCGGCCATCGACGACCGCGAGCTCCTCGACTACAGCGACCTCCAGACCTTCTCGCACCTCTTCAAGACCGTCGACGTCGACAAGAAGGGCGCCGTCAAGCACGCGGCCATCGGCGACCACTTCACGCCCCTGACGAGCCGGGGCATCAACCCGTCGCAGGTGCGCCAGGTCTTCGAGTGCGCGGACCGCCACAGCGCCGGCGAGGTCACCATGGAGCAGTTCCTCGACTTCATCGGCGGCAAGCCCCCGTGGTACCGCGACTGGCTCCGCCACGTCGCCGACACGCAGCAGGCCGCGTTCCTCGGGGGCATGCGCATCGGCGGCTAAGGAGCTTAGTCGGCGACCCACGCGGAGGCCGCGGCGACGCCCGCCTTGAGCCAGTGCACGTCGAAGCCGACGGTGAGCGCGTAGCCGCGCGCGTGGAGCTCCGCCGCGCGGTCCGCGGTCAGCGCGACGGCGCCGAGGGGGACGCCGCGGGCAAACGCCGCCTCCTCCACGCGCCTCTCCGCCGCGAGGAAGCCCGGGTCGTCGAATCGGCCCGAGGCGCCAAGCGCCGTCGACAGGTCGAACTGCGCGAGCTGGAAGGCGTCGACGCCCTCGACGGCCAAGATCGCGTCGATGTTGTCCACGGCCTCCGCCGTCTCGATGAGGACGACGCAGAGCGGCGGGTTCCGTTCGTAGTGCGCCGCCGCCTCCGCGAACTCGAAGCCCTTCGCGGACGCGGCCACAAAAGGACCGAAGCCGCGGTCGCCCCGCGGCGGGTAGTGGAGCGTCCGCACGGCGCGCTCCACGTCCGCGGCGGTGCACGCCAGCGGGAAGACGACGCCCTCGGCGCCGAGGTCGAGCGCGCGCTTCACGCTCAGCGGCTCGATGGACGGCACGCGCACGACGGGCGCGCAGTCGCTTCCCCGGACGCTCGCGACCATGGCCTGCGCGTCCTTGTAGTCGATGGGCCCGTGCTCTAAATCGATGCAGATCGCGTCGGCACCGGCCGCGGCCATCGCCTGCGTGACGACTGGCGACGGGATTACGGCGAACTGGAGGCTGCAGCCGCGGGGCCGCGTCTGGAGCTTCGCGCGGAAGGCGTTGGCGCTGCCGGGGGCGCTGCTGAGGCGTCGCGTTGTTGCCCGCGCAAGGCATCGTGTCGCAGTGAATCGGCGCGCTGCGAGACGCAGAGCCTCCATGCTGCACTGCTGCAACTTCTGTGCTCCACTCCTCGTATCCATGTGTTGACTTTCTGGGCAGCCATCGGAATGAAGATGCTCGCCGCCTCGATGAAGCTGCTCGCCCTCCTCGCCGTCGCAGACGGCGCCATCATCGGCGGGTCGGGTGACTATACGTGCGTCTTCGGCGTTTACTGAGCGTTACATTGACCAGCCGATCCCCTCCGTCACGGTCACGCTTATTTTGCACCGCACAGGTATGAATACATGCCCCTCAAGCTCCAGATGCCCGAGGGCGCGGCAGTGGTCAACAGCCACGGCCTCGAGGTCGACGCCGCGGGCAACATCTACCTCACCTACGAGCCGGACCACACGAACGACACGCACTGCCTCGTGCGCTGGAAGCCCGACGGCACGGGCGGCGAGATCCTCGGCGCCGGCGGCCCGCTCTGCGTCGGGACGCCCCACGGCCTCCGGCTCGCGGTGGAGGGGTCCGAGACGTTTTTGTACCACGCGAACAACGGCGAGCTCTCCTGACGAAGACGACGCTCGAGGGCGACGTCGTGTGGCAGGTGCGCGGCCCGCCGAACAACGACAGCAAGTTCGAGCCCTACAAGCCCACGTGGTTCGCCGTGCCGCCCGAGGGCGACTACGTCTACCTCGCCGACGGCTACGGGTCGAACCTCATCCACGTCTTCACGCGCGACGGGGCCTACGCGAACCACACCTTCGGCGGCGGCGGCGGCGGCGACGGCCAGTTCGCCACGTGCCACAGCATCACCTACGACGCGCGCCGCGGCCAGCTCGTCGTCAGCGAGCGCGAGAACCACCGGCTCCAGCGCTTCTCCTTCGACGCGAAGACGGGCGGCGTCTTCGACTTCGAGGACCTCGCGCGCGTCGAGGGCATCGACCGCATCTGCAACATCCGGTCCTACCCGGCCCTCGGCGGCCTGGCGATCCTGCCCGCGCTCGAGGGGCCCGTCGCCATCGTCGACGCGGAGGACGAGACGCTCGCGATCCTCAACGTCTCGGGCCTCCTCGGCGCCGAGGGCCACCTGCACCCGCACGACGCGCAGATCCTGCCCAACGGCGACGTCGTCGTCGCGACCTGGGCGCCGGGCCGCGTCTCCTACTGGAAGAAGCTCGCCGGCGCCGCGTGCGCGGCCAAGGGCGACGAGTGCGCCCAGAGCGCGGACTGCTGCCCCGAGCTCACGTGCCAGCCGGACAGCGCCACGGGCAAGAGCGAGTGCTGGCGCAACCACTAGAGATGTCGCGAGGCACGCTGCTAACTACAGGTTATACGCGTTGAAGCCGCAGGGCCGGCAGACGCGGACGCGGCCGAGGCAGCCCATCGACGGGATCGTGACGCGCTTGTCCGGGAGCTCGGTGAACTGGGCGATGCCGTCGCCGGCGACGCGGTCGCCCGCGGGCGCGCAGAAGGCGCAGACGAGCGCGCCGCACGCGCGGCAGTGGTGCGTCGCGCTCGCGCGCGCGGCGTCGCTGCCGCGCACGGCGGACGTCCACGTCACGTCGGAGCCGCAGACGGCGCAGGGCGCCCACGTGTTGTCCGCGAGGAGCGCGGGCCGGAAGGGCGGCGCGGGCCGCTCCCGGGGCCGCCGGGACCGCGTCGCGCGGACGACGCGGAGCGCGAAGGCCGTCTGGGAGACGTCGTGGTCGTTCACCGCGCGCGGCGTGAGCTGGACCTTGTTCAGCTCCGGCAGGTCGCCGTCCGTCGCGTGGGCCTCGTAGTTGCCGTCGACGCCCGCGAGGAAGACGACCAAACCGGGCACGACGAGCCGCGCGGCGGCCGACTTGCGGCCCGAGAGCGTCGGCGACGCCGCGCGCCGGTCCAAGCTCTCGAGGGGCAGCGCGTCCTCGCGCGCGTCGTGGACCATGCCCTCGCCCTTTCCCAGCGTCGCGACGTGGCCCGCGTAGGCCGCGCGGTCCTTGGCGAAGCTCGCGCGGTAGTTGGCGTCGTCGTTCACGAGGTCCGCGGCGAGCCGCGCGCACGTCGCGTCGGAGAGCCGCGGCACGACGTCGTCCTGGAGCACGCAGGACGTCACCGTCGGCTTCAGGAACGCCGCGAGGTCCGCGGAGACGCACGCGGGCGTCGCGAACGCGTAGCAGCGCACGCGGGGCAGCGCCCCGTGGTCGTTCAGCAACGTCGCGACGAGCGCCGCGACCCCGCCGCCGAGCGAGTGGCCGACGCAGGTCACGCGGACGCCGCGCGCCCGGAGCGCGTCGACGGCCTCGCCCGCGCCGCAGTCGTTCAAAATCGCCCGCGCGGCCCGCAAAATGCCGCCGTGCGCGACCCAGGCGCTGTCGACCCCGAAGACGGGCGCCTCGTCGGCGTCGCTGTTGATGGCCCAGTCGCCGGGCGTCTGGCTGCCGCGGATCGCGAGCACGGCCTCGTCGCCGCGCGCCGCGAGGCACCACGCGGGGAACCGCACCTTGGGCAGCGACGGCACGGAGCACCGGGCGTTCTCGGACCGCGACGCGCCGACGCACGCGAGGAGCCGCCAGCCGCCGGACGTCTCGCAGAGTTTTTTGCAGTACCACGCCGCCCAGTCGGGCGTGTGTTGCGGTTTCCTTAACTCGTTCGCCGCGTAGAGCCACTGCGCGGGGCCGATCCAGTACCTACGGAGCGCGCGTCGCGGAACGAAACCCCCATCTCCGCGGCGCCGAGCCCGCACCCGAGCGCGTCGAGGACGTCGTCCGAGGCCGCGGGGCCGCGCCGCGTCGCCTCCCGCGGCGCGCCGCAGGCCCGCAGCCGGCCGACGGCGTCGCCGCAGGCGAGGTAGTAGAGACGGAGCGCGAGCTCCGCTTCCGCCGCGCCGCGCGTCTTGTAGGACGTCGCCTCGCCCGCGTCCCTGACGTGGCGCCGCAGCATGGGCAGCACGCGCTCCGCGAAGATGCGGAACGTCGGCGTCAACAAAACGGCCGCGATGCCGCCCTCGGCGAGCTGGTACGCGCGGACGACGTCCGAATAGCCGCTGAGCTTGAGCGCCTCGAGCGCGAGCGGCGCGAGGCGCATGGCCGTCGCCGACGCGCCCGTGTCCGCGACGGCGGCGCCGGGCCGCGGGTAGGTCTCGCCCGCCGCGCGGCCACTCGCGAGGTCCTCCAAGAAGGCGGTCACGTTCGCCGCGTGGCTCGCGGCCAACGCCCGCCGGAACGCGGCCGCGTTCGCCTCGCCGCAGCGCGGGCCGCACTCGCGCGCGCAGACGCTCACCTCGCCGCTCGAGCCCGCGCCGGACTTGGCGCACGCGTCGGGCACGACGAGCTGCGCGCTGCAGCCCTTGCAGACGCGGCCGCCGCAGACCGGGCACGTCGACAGGCGGAGCAGCGCGTTGTGCGGCACGCCGCAGCGGTCGCAGGGCACGGAGCTCAGGCCCTGCTTGCCCGTCTCGTAGGTCGCGTTCGCCGCCGCCGCCGCCGTCGACGCGTAGGACGACGCCTTCTCCGTGAACTTGGAGAACATGATGGGTGCGGTGGCGTTTCGGCGATTTCAGCGAAGAGCGATGCTCCGGGTCCGGGCCAATGGAGGGCTGTGTCCACGGTTGTCAGAGAATTGATGGACGACAACGGCTGGGTCCGCGCGCTACTACGTGCGCCAGGACGCGGACTGCGCGGGCATTGTGCGCCGCTCGAGAGCGTCGATTTAGCCCCGGCCAAGACCCCAGGCGAATATCTCTCTCTCTCATCGCCGCCAAGCCGAGACAACAAAAGAGCGAGCTAGTCGCCGTGCGAGGCGGTGTCCGCGATGAGGGCGGCGAGAGACGCGCGCGGCGGCGGTGAGAGCGTCGGGGCCGGCAGCAGGGCAACGGAGCGACGCTGCGGACGCGAAGACGCGCCGAAAGACGCGCCCGACGCTCTGCGCGGCTCGCCGACGCTCTGCGGCCGCCCCGACGCGACAGAGAGGCGCGCGCGACGCGGGACGGGACGCCGGGGTCGCCGCGCGCACTCCCGCACGAAAAGGCTGTTCGCTCACCCGCCGCGCCCTCACAGGTTGTCAAGATGCCCGCCGCCGGGACGTTCCGCGAGGCCGAGCAGACGGAGAAGGCGTACCAGAAGCAGGATGCGGTCTTCATCGGCCGCAAGCGCGCGCTCGCGAAGAAGAGCAAGAAGGGCATGCGCTACGTGCGCAACGTGGGCCTCGGCTTCAAGACGCCCAAGCTCGCGCTCGAGGGCTCGTACGTCGACAAGAAGTGCCCCTTCACGGGCAACGTGTCGATCCGCGGCCGCATCCTCAAGGGCATGGTCATCTCCACGAAGATGAAGCGCACGCTCGTCATCCGCCGGGACTACCTCAACTGGTGCGGCAAGTACCGCCGCTTCGAGAAGCGCCACAAGAACATGTCGGTGCACTGCAGCCCCTGCTTCGAGAACGTCAAGGAGGGCGACATCGTCACCGTCGGCCAGTGCCGGCCCCTCACGAAGACGGTCCGCTTCAACGTCCTCACCCACGAGCCCGCCGTCAACCAGTCCCTCAACGTCAAGAAGGTCTTCCGCGTCTTCTAAGCGGCGGCCGGAGAAACGGCCGCCGCGCCGCGGGCCGGCGACGCGCGCGCGGGCGGGCCATCCCTCGCTCGTCGATCACCTTAAATAAAAACAACCACCTCCGCTCGGGCGTCGGGCGCGCGTCGTCTCTGGCCTCGCGCCTTCGTGCTATGCGAAGGTCGCTCGACGACGCGCCGACGACGTCGCGCGGGGCGAGACGGGCGGCGACGACGCGTTGCCGGAGCCGTCGTCTGGGGGTTCGCGTGGGAGGAGCCCTCTGGGGCGGCGACAGCGGCTCGCCGCGCAGGCGCAGCGACGGCGACGGAGACGAATTTCCACAATTAAATTATTTCCAGAGCCGAGAGTCGACCACGGACAAAAGATCCGACGGCACCCCCCAGTGGGTGGGTGGGCCCGGAGGTCGGGTTTCAAAAATCCAAAGTGTACTTAAAGGGTACTTGTAACGCGCACGCGCGCGTGTGGAGGCCGCGCGCGTCCTGCGTCCTGCGTCGCACCGGGAGTCGGGAATAGGTGCCATGGAGCACGGCGGTGTCCTCGTCGAGTCAGGCCGCGCCCGGCGTTCGTCGGCGGGCCCGCGGCCGCACGGTGGCGGCCGCCTCCTGCAGCGGCACCGGCGACTCCGGGTCGAACCGCGGCGCTACGCGGCGCGCGCGGTGTGGCAATTCAGCGATCGCCCAGCGGCGCGCGACGCGGCAACTTGAAGGCAACCAACAACAAAAGGAGCTCGTTGATTGGTCGGGAGGTGGGTGGGTGGGTGCCGGTGGCCGGCACCAAGAACCGGGGGTGGCGTCTGGTACTTTTTTTTAGGTAGCCTCCTGCCAGAGCATGGCTCCTGTGGAGTGCATGTCAGCGTAAACACAAAACACACATGGACGCCCTCGGCGACGCCTTGTGCGGCTGCGGCGACGACGCCGTGGAGCTCGACGAGCGCGACGACCTGCCGCCGACGCTGAGCGCCTACGTGATCAACGCCATGCAGGCGCCCCACGAGGTGCTCGACGTGCACCCCAAGGCGCCGCCCTGGGCGACGCGCGACAACCTGCGCGTGAACTGCCTGCGGCTCCTGGCGAGGCGCGAGCGCCACTTCGAGGCCTACGTCTTCCGCGCGCTCGCGGCCCACGACGCGACGCACGGGTGCCCCGGCCTCGAGCCGCGGCCGGACCGGTGCGCGCCGCACGCGGCCGCGCTCGTCGCGCACGCGCTGCTCGCGGCGCGCGCGACGAAGCGCACGGAGGACCTCGTGCAGCGGCTGCCGCGGCTCGTGGGCGACGGCCACTTCGACGGGTCGCCCGACGACGCGCTGCACGCGCGGCGGCCGCTCGGCGCGCCGCGGTCCCGCCGGCGCCGCGCGTGCGGCCTGTTGGCGACGCGCTGCGTCGGCGCGCGCTGGGCGTTGGACCCGGACCGCACGGCGATCCTCGAGTTCGACTTCGAGGTGTCCTACTGCGGCCGGGTCACGACCGTCGAGAGCGCGCCCGCGGAGGCCGTCGCGGACGCGCTCGCGCGGCTCCAGGCGACGGAGCTCCGGGAGCTGCGCCTCGTCGACGCCGCGTCCTACCGGGCGCTGAAGCCCCTGTGCCGCGTGCGCGGCCTGCTGCAGCGCGCGCGGAAGCAGGAGGACTTTCGGCGGCGGAAGACGCCCGCGGAGATCGGCCGCGTCCTCGCGCGGCGCTTCATGGCGCTGCACCGGTCCCTGGGCCTGCTTGTAGGCGCCTACAGCCCCGCGCTCCTCGAGGGCTTGCTGCGCGTCGACGTGGACAGCGTGTGGCGCGAGGAGGAGCCGCGCGTCGCGCGGAGCCTCGACCCGCCGCGGCCGACGGACCCGAGCGACGTGCTCTATCTGGTCGACGAGGAGTGGCTCCGCGCCTGGCGGTCCTGGGCCTTCTACGCGCCGCCCAGGGGCGGCGACGCGGACCCGCCGCCGCCGCCGGGCCCGCTCTCGAACGCGCGGCTCGCGGCGCCGCCGCGGCCGCCGCTCGCGCCGTACGCGCTCGGCGTCGACTACCGCGCCGTGTCGCCGTCGCTCTATGCCTACTTTTCCCTCTGCCACGGCGCGGCCGACGAGCCGGGCCTCGCGCGGCGGCGCGCGGACCCGAGCCTCCGGGGCGCGCGCGCGCCGCCCGCGCGGCCCCTGGCGATCGCGCGCGTCGCGCGCTGCCTCAAGGCCGCGGCGCGCAACCGGCGGCCCGTCGTCGAGGCCGCGGAGGACGACGCCGACGACGGGCTCGACGACGTCGCGGCCGAGGTCCTCGCGGACGTCGCGGACGCGCTCCTCCCGGTGCCGCCGCCGCCGCGCGGGGGCGAGACGACGTGCTGCACGCCGGCGCCGAAGCCGCCCGACCCGGAGGCCGGCGTCGAGCTGCCGACGCTGTCGCCCCTGCACGACGCGCTGCGGGAGGCGTAACGGGAGCGGTCCTTGCCGTCAAGTTGCAGACTTCAGCGATCGCGGAACTTGCCTCTGACTGGAGAGACAGCACCGCTGCGTGCCGCGCCAGCCCTCTGCGAGCGCCGCGCGTATCCCACAAACGCCATGGCCGACGACGACGGCCCGCTCGTCGGCGTGCTCGCGATCCAGGGCTCCGTCGAGGAGCACGTGGCCGTGCTCGCGGGCCTCGGCGCGCGCACGCG